TACATCTGGAATTTTTCAGAAACATCTAATTTTGCCCAATTTTAGTAAAATATGCACCAAATTTTGCTACAAAAGAAAGGTTAATCCCTTACAGTTGTAGATTTTTCATACAAATCTGAATTTGACAAATTTTGCTAAATATACAAGGTTAACTACAATCTGCAATTTTCCAGAAACATCTGATTGTGCCCTATTTTGCTAAAAAAGAAAATGCAAGGTTCACCCTTAAAATTCGATTTTTTTCATAAACATCTAACTTTGCCAATTTTCACTAAAACAGCAAGGTTAACCCCTTTCAATCTGCAATTTTCTAGAAACTTCTGATTTTGCCCTTATTTGGCAAGGTTAATTCCTTTCATCGGATTTTTTTCAATAACATCTGATTTTGCCCAATTTGGCAAGGTTAATCCATTACAATTTGTGATTTTTTTATTTAAATTTGATTTGGTCCAATTTTGCTAAAAATGCAAGGTTAACCCCTTACAATCAGACCTTTTCCAGAAACCTGTGAGTTTGCCCTATTTTGCAAAAAAAAAAAAAATGCGAAGTTAATCCCTTACAATTTGAATTTTTTCAGAAACATTAAAAAATTTCCCAATTTTGCTTAAAATGCAAGGTGAACCACTTACAATTTGAAATTGTTCATTAACATCTAATTTTGCCAAATTTCACTAAAAAAAGTAAGGTTAATTCCTTACATCGGACTTTTTTTTCAGAAACATCTGATTTTGCCCAATTTTGCTAAAAATGCAAGGTTAACCCCTTTCAATCTGCAATTTTCTAGAAACTTCTGATTTTGCCCTAATTTGGCAAAGGTTAACCCCTGACAATTTTTGATTTTTCATACAAATTTGATTTAGTCCAATTTTGCTAAAAATGCAAGGTTAACCCCTAACAATTCGAAAACCAAGGTTAACCCCTTACAATTTTTTTTTTTCAAAAACATCTCATTTTGCCCAATTTCGTTGAAAAAAATGCAGGGTTAACCCCTTACAATTTAAAATGTTTCATAAACATGCAACTTTGCCAAATTTCACTAAAAAAGCAAAGTTAACCCCTTTCAATCTGCAATTTTCCAGAAACATCTGATTTTGCCCTAATTTGGCAAGGTTAACCCCTTTAATTTTTGATTTTTCATACAAATCTGACTTTGCCCAATTTTGCTAAAAGTGCAAAGTTAACCCCTTAAAATCTGAAATTTTCCATAAACACCTGATTTTGCCCTATTTTGCCAAAAAATGCAAGGTTAACCCCTGACAATTTGAAATTTTTCATAGACATTTAAATTTTTCCAATTGTCCTTAAAAAGCAAGGTTAACCCCTTACAATTTGAAATTTTTCATCCACATCTTATTTTGCAAAATTTCACTAAAAAAGCAAGGTTAACCCCTTACAATTTGAAATTTTCCAGAAAGATCTGATTTTTCCCAATTTTGCAAAAAAATGTAAGGCTAACTCCTTGCAAACTGTTAAATCAATACATTTGACTTTTTTAAAACAAATTATATTTCCAGTTTTTAGGGTAAAGGATATGTTCTCGTTTTCCTTTCTCTTTGTTGTTGCTATATTTTGCGAATTAACTCATTCGTATGGAAGATCATAGTCAATCAAAGAATATTTCACACATAGGGGCCTAAATTATATTTTTTAAATTTAATAGAGACGCAATGATCGTGCTATCATATACCATTCTATTACTATTGCGAATTACTGTATTGTTTGGTATGCTCACAATTAAAGACACGTTATTTGAAAGATGTATAAATAATATTTATATTACAATGTACATCTTTATTCTTTCCCGGTATAATTTATGGCGTTTCTTACGTAAATTGGCAATCGCGTCATTATATAATGATAGTCAAATTGATCAAACGAAACTCCGTTTTGATTATAGTCAATTATGAAATATTCATTGATTTATGACATATACCTTTGTTTCAATTTTGATACTACCCGTAGACCTGCCGAACAGCTGTAGATATCAAACTAAACCAAAGTATAAAAGATAGAGGGTAAAAAAAATCAAAAAGTTATGTGCTAGTCAAGCTTTCAGGGATCGGTCTGAGCCATAACAATGCCCCAGCCGATCCCTTAGTTCTCTTCCGGGGTCTCGGCGTCCCCGACCAATACACACTTCCTTCCCTATCCATCCATATAACCCCGGAGGGCCAGGCACCATGTAAAAGCAAAGAGCTAAGGGAGGAACAGGGCGGCCCCTAAGCCCTGATCCTCCGAGTGGACCACATGCCCTGAACCTGTACGAAGGCGCCAACCTGGAACTCGCGGACAGTACCAGCAGCAGTGCTTACCGATTAAGCTAAGGTACTGTTGGTACTTTACGACGGGAAATTAAATCACTTATAGTAAATAATTGAACTCATACGTTAAAAACCAAAAAGACACCAGCGGGATTCGAACCCGGGACCCCACTAATTGTGGACGACGAATCGTAACCACTCGGCCATTTCGTGACCTTAGAATTTTCCTTAAACTGAGAAAAGTTGTCTTTATAGGTGAGCAAACGCGCCAGGAAGATTACTGGGTCCAAATGCTGTACCTCAATGGATAAAAACAAGCCGATATAATGAGCCCAGTGTGTTTGGTTTGTTAGGAAGCTGCATAAGACAGCCTAATGTGCAAAACAGTCGTGTGCTAGGCGGATCATTACGCAACAATGAACACCGCAATTTTATTTTCAAAAGGCAGACGCGTAGGTTTCTACTCTTTGTATATGGGCACATACAGATTCTCACCTCCCTCTTCAGCTATTTCGACTTTCTTAAAAAGCAAAATAGAGACTGTCAGCGAATCTCCGGGAGTTGAAATAAGGATCGTCCCCTCGATAGACCTCAGACTCAGTAAAGTTCAACATTGGGCTCTTTTTCAACAGCTGTTTTTTTGCGGAAACTTTACATCTGGATTTTTTTAGAAGCATCTGATTTTGCCTAATTTTAGTAAAATATGCTCCAAATTTTGCTAAAAAAGCAAGGTTAACCCCTTACCATTTTAGATTTTTCATACAAATCTGATTTTGCCCAATTTTGCTAGAAATACAAGGTTACGCCCTAACAATCTGCAATTTTCCAGAATCATCTGATTGTGTCCTATTTTGCTTTAAAAAAAAATGCAAGGTTAACCCCTTTAAATTTGAAATTTTTCGTAACATCTAACATTGCAAAATTTCACTAAAAAAGCAAGGTTGGGCCAAAAAAAAAAGTCTCCGGTGTTTGGTATGGAGCTTGCACAAAAAGTGGTGCGGCGACGCGGCTTGTTTTTTTTTTTTAACCTGTTTTTTTCTGCTTCAAATGTCGGCTGATGACTGCAAATGGTGCCCGACTAAACTTAGTGCAAATATTATGTGAGACCAGAGAGGCCACTTAAGCTTATTCTCGATCATAACCCCATCTAAAAACACGTTAAAATTTTGCAGCAGGAGGATTCCAGTCAAACCAGTGAGTCTGGCGGTTTTGAGACATCATCGTTCATTGAAAATAAAAACTTTTTCATTTTGCCGACGCGCATGGCTACGGCGACGCGCGCGCATACCAGATACCGGAGACTTTTTTTTGGCCTTTATCCCTTACATCTGAAATTTTTCGGAAACATCTGATTTTGCCCGATTTTGCTAAAATATGCAATGTTCACCCCTTACAATTTGAAATGTTTCATAAACATCTAAACCCTATACAATCTGCAATTTTCCAGAAACATCTGATTTTTCCCGATTTTGCTAAAAAAAAATGCAAGGTTAACCCCTTACAATTTGATTTTTTTCATAAACATCTAATTTTGTCCAATTTTACAGCAGCTTATGCTAACAAAGTATCAGGTAATTTGGCCTTGGAGCTCAGACCATCAGTGTGTCATGCACTCCTCAATGCATAGATGATGCACATAACACTATGGGTAGTACAGGCACAGCTGGGGGTACTGCCCAAACAATGATGAACGCATTGCGTATGCTTAAAGAATTACCCACAATTCCGGTTTTTACCGTTTAGGTCTGGCTCTAATCACTTTACACGTTCCCCTGATGTCTCATACACTGACTTTAGGCAAAATAGTCAGACTTTCGCGGTCTAGTAACCAGACTTTGACTCTTAAAGAAACATCGAATGAAAAGGGAAATATGAAATGCATATTGCAAAAGATCGAATGCAAACATACCGATGAAACATCGAATACAAATTTAGCTCGAAATGTCAAACATATGTGTGAAACATTGCTCACATATTTGAGAATATCGCAAATATATTGTAGAACAACACACACAATTGTATCGAAAAACATCGCACATTTAATGCAAAAAATCGAACATAATATTAAAAACATCGCACATTTATCGTCAAACATCGCACATATAAATTGAAAATCGCATATAAATGTAAAACATCGCACACATATATTGAACATCGCACAACATCGCACAAATATATTAAACATTGCGCAAATAATAAAAAACATCGCACACTTATATATTGAACATATCGCACATAAATGTAAAAGATAACAAACACATATTGAACATCCAACATATATATTGCAAAATATTGAATATTGCAACGTTTGACACGCCATAGGAGGACACCAAGGTATATGAGGACCATGGGCGTCAATCGGTGGGGGACGGGGGTCCCTCCACCCCTTTTTAAAATGGGGGGTATCATTTCGTTTGTCCCCCCCCCCCCCCACTTTCTCATCCCCGAATAAAAACTGACATGTAGCCTACTATAATGATTCTTTAGCTCAGAAAAACATGATTAAGTGACTCCAAACTCGAAAATGATGTTTAAAAGATTATCATTTGCTCCAAAAAATTTGGTTTGCCTCAGATCGAACCCCAAAAATCGGGTCCCTTAGGGCCTTCGGCCTCGTGGTATGTGGGACATAGACGCACTACATTACATGTATTCCGTGTTCCATTCGCTCTCGCGGGACCGCTAAAATCTAGTAGGTGCAAACAGCGCCCTCTTTTGATAACGCCGTTCGTCTCCAGCTCTGACGTCATCACCGCACCAGCAGTACGAGAATAAATGGCGACCAGACCTCACTTTGTTGCAAAAAAATACAAATTTGATCCTTTATTTTACCCTATTTTAGCGTGCTTTGTATGTATACCAACCAACCGAGTGCTAGGCCAACCGTCAGAGAGTCATCCCAGCAGGGATTCTGTGCCAATTTGAGGCTTCATCCATCCGAAAGAATGAAATAATGAATCTGGACTCCCATTCGTTGGCCTTGTCTCAAGTCACGAACCTTGTGAGCAATTTGTCGAAGAAAAACTACAAGCAGAGTGTTGCAGAACTTTCCCGTGTAAGTTGCCGTTGTTGCGCTCTTCTCTTAAGACAAAACTTACTGTCTGTCTGTGGTAAAACGGCACCTTAATTTATGGAAACCTCCGATGTGGTGGTGGGTTTTGGTTTACATGAAAAGTCATGGATATGAATTTAGCTTATGAACAATGATGAATGAATGATGATGCACTGAACATATTGACAGAAATGGAGCTGAATAAATCATCATCATCATCATCACTCATTTTTGTGCCATAGCCCATTATTAGCGGGAAAGATTTGTAGGTGAAATGTTGCAACCTGATGCCCACTTCCACGATTGTGTACAAAGTCTATGGACATGATGATGATGGAGAGTCAACATGGTCAAGAAAATTGTCTACTAAGATCTAGAAGCCCGCAAAATTGTCTGCAGCACAAAACACTAATAAAGTACAAAAACATCCATCAAAATGCAGACATTTTACACAGAACCGCTGCACAGTTTGCCCCTATACTCGTACTTTACATGTACCTCTTGAGCATGTTGACATACTCACGTATCATGGGCAGAACTAACATAGGTGGATTCTGTCGGTTTTTAGGCCAAAATGATGAAAAATATGCCCTTTCCGCACTGAGCCAACCGAACACTTGAAACGTGCATGCATATGATCAAGCGATGATTTTCGGTTCGCTCGGAGCGCGCTGGGGGGGGGGGGGGGGGGGGGGGGGGGGGGGGGGGGGGGGGGGGGGGGGGGGGGGGGGGGGGGGGGGGGGGGGGGGGGGGGGGGGGACGGTACAGGCGAAATGATAGTATGTGCATGCGTACAGGTTCAATATGTTCAGGTATTTTCCCTCTGTGTATATGCCTTAAGGTACATGGTATGTTTACATGGTTAATCACACTCACAGTTTATTTTTTTATTTTTTTCTCAAAAATTTGTTATTCTGCTAGGGAGTCTGGTTAGCACTGTCGAAACAATTCACAAAACCAGACAGACTATTATCAACAGTTACCACAATTAACAATCAAAATACACATAAACAAAATTCAATGACATTCCAATAGACAAAACAATTAACAAGACCAGACTCAGACTTTAACCTCCAGTTATCTGAACAGTCACAGACAGTCCAAAAATCAGTTTTCTTCTCCCATGTTGCAACAGTCGGATCATATTTCAATCAAGTTTTGTGACTAGTCAAATTCAGTCAACAGAAAAACACAGGCAAGTGGTACATGTTGGCACAGCTCGCTTATCAATCACCTACAGTCAAAGCATAGCTGTATCAAGTTTTACATAAACAGTGACAGCCAGTGAATCCAGCTTTACGTTGGCTGGGAGCTCTTAACTGTTGAAAACAGTCACTTGATTGATTTTGACTGAAAGGACAACTTTGCACAGAATGATTGTTTGCATAGGAGGGTTATCCTGTCTGTTGTCCTGGTAGAGTCACTGAAAATCTTTCCTGCAGATATTTTTTTCCCCCTGAAGTTCAAGTTCTGCAATCAGAGTCATAGGAAAGGGATATTTCAGCTTTAGTTGTTAGAGGAAAACCTCAGGGATTATGCAGGAAACAACTATGATGGGATAGGGACATACGACAAAATTCATATAAGCGACCGGATCCCACACAATGAGTCTCTGGGATATTTTTTGACTTGATAGATTTTCACATGTATGCAGTAACAAGTGCGTAAAGTGCTCTTCAGTTTGTATAAATCACTCAGTTGATCTTACACATTTATAAGTATGTGGATGAAAAGGTTGATTGTTCCAACTGTTTCCAATCGTGTAAGACTCTCGCAAAAGGCTGATTACTCAAGTGTAGACGTGACTCAAGTCGATATCCACGATAACTGCTTCCACCAGTTAAACCAGCCCTTAATTCTATCACTAACATCTCTCTATGGTAGAAGCAGGACAAATACATGTACCACATTAACACGCGTGCCACTTCAGTGAAGTTCAGTGCCATATAACAATGCACAGTGTGTACAACAGACTATAGTCTATAACAGTAAAGAAGTCTGAATTGATCAATCTGTCATGGGAAACTCACAGCGCGTATGCATTTGTTTATCGATGCATGCAACATCATCACCACACGTATGTGCTGCAACAGCTTGACCAATCAAGACTACTTCATTTCATTCAGTAGGAATGGAAGAGTGAATCAATGTGCGTATTACCGAAGGCTACTTCAAGTACTTGCCTAAGATTCATCAGGAATAGTCAGAATATTTTAGTCTGGGAACCAGACTATCGTTTTCAAAGCGAAAGATCAAAGAAAAGTTTTCTCAACTTACCTGTGGTCGGCTAAGGTTTTGAAAATCTGAAATATGTGCTAATTTGAACCAAACATTTTTTTTTGAGTGCGAATTTTAAGTAAAATTTTGTCTAAATGAAATTGTGGCTTCAAATATAAGATTAATGCAAACCAAGTATCATTGTGATAAACTTGTAAAGGATGTTGAGATCTATTATTCATGCGGCTCGTTGCGCATACGCACAGCTGTTTGAAACATTCGAACGTACACGAATGTGTTTCTGTTTGTACATACACCTCACCTTGGGTTGTGTGCGCATTCCTATATATGCAGTAATATGCATGTGGCTGAAAGCATTCTGGAATAAAAATGATGATGCCCTTAAATACTGTGCTGTGATTGGTCGCTACCCAAATCGGTAGATTAGCTCACAGACTGTGTACAAACGCCTGGCAGATTGCCAAATCTGGGATTCTGAACTCATATGAAATAACATGTGCGTGTACATTTTTAACATGTTGGTCCTAAAACTGTTGCGTGAGGGCACGCGTTATACACAGCTCGTATCTTGACCATGGTTGTGTGCATGTGTGTGTGTGAACACGTACATGTGTGCATACTGCACACTGCACACTGCACAAACCACGCGAAACCCAGACTTGGCCAAGTCTAACTCATAAGTGTAGCCTTGCAGACTTGTGACTCATTGTGTTGGGTTTGGTCACATGTATTTGTATACAGTAATTTTGTTAGTAGCATCAGAGTATGAATTGGCAAGAACGGTGCAGCAGTACATACACGCCAGGATGGTACCGGTACCTTTAGATGTCTTAAAACCTTAAGATTGTGTTCCCCATGCTCTTCAACAAGTTTGATTTCTTTTTTGTATTAATAAATTTTCAACTTTATGTTTAGTTCAACCAAAAACCTCCCTTGTTTGCAAGATTTTTTTTTTACATCTGCAACCCTCATAAAAAGTAATGGGTTTGTCTTGGTTTTTTTAATTAGTTGTTTATTTCTTATTCCCCCCCCCCTTGTTTTAGCTTGTCAGCCAGCAGGGGCCGGAGGGGGACAGGCATCTGCTGCGCTGCCTCTTCTCATACGTTGACTTCAGTAGTGATGGTAAAAACGCCACCAAGGAATTCCATCAGGTAACTCCTGGACAATTTTATTAAATTATTTAAATGAAGATTTTTATAAGACTACAGTTGAACACTGCTTTAGCCTCAGCCCCATCGGGTATTCTTCAGGTACCCTGCTAAATGCAACAATGTCCAACTCAACTCGAATGAGAACCCTGCTAAATGCAACAAATTGCAACAGTGGATTCTGTTGCATTGTGCAGTGAACCCAGTGTATACCAACCTTGGCTCCAAGCAGTTACTCTGCTAAATGCAACAAATGGCAATTGTTTTCAATTAGTCCAAAAAAAAAGTCTACGGTTTCTGGTATGCGCGCGCGTCGCCGTAGCCATGCGCGTCGGCAAAATGAAAAAAAAAAATTTTCAATGAAAGATGATGTCTCAAAACCGCCAAACTCACTGGTTTGACTGGAATCCTGCTGGTGCACAATTTTAACGTGTTTTTAGATTGGGTTATGGTGGAGAATAAGCTGTGGCCTCTCTGGACTCCCATATATTTGCACTAAGTTTAGTCGGGCACCATTTGCAGTCATCAGCCGACATTTGAAGCAAAAAAATCAGGTAAAAGAAGAAAAAAAAGCCGCGTCGCCGCACCACTTTTTGGGCAAGCTCCAAACCAGAAACCGGAGACTTTTTTTTTTGGCCTTAGCCATAACTCAATAAATGATTACCCAATTGGAAAGATTTGTCGTTGTTGCAAAGCTAATGAATTTTAGTCCCCAAATATGTATCAATATTTTTGATGTATTTTTTTTTAAGCTGTGAAAAAAGAGGGCGCTTTGAGGGTTCAGGATTTTTTAGGGCAAGCACCTTGTATTTACTTAATTTGTCTGAGGAGTGTGGTTAAACAAATAGATATCTTCATTGTTGGGACAACCGCTATGATTTCTTTAGAAAAAAAATACCTTGCTTAATTAAATGCTGAACTTTTTGCACATAACAGTGTTATTTAATGCAGATACTGATATGGCCGGCGTTCATCGGTTTACTGTGCGGCTTTTTATAGCAGGATGTTATTGCAGATGGTTGGCTGTTCTGTTCTAGGCTTGTTTTAATAAGTGATTTCCTTTGTGTCTCTCTATCCTTGCAGCTGCACGTTCAGTTACTGACTCAAGAGTGCACCACACTCTTTGCCAAACCCAACTTCGTTTGTACCCTGTGCCACGCCCTCGACAACCCCCTCCACCAGCAGAAGGTGAGTGCGTCCAGCCTGGTAGCTCATGAATATTTAAGTTGAGACACTCATGAATATTCATGTTGCTGACTCATTTGGCTGCTGCAATATGACCACACAGAGTGCTCACTGTTTTAAGTGCTGTTTCAGTTTTTAATGCAACAGTGGGTCTTTTCAACACTACAGGGTGGTTCAAAATAAAGGAAATCAACTTTTGACAGCAATTTCACCTACTTAGTTAAAGGGAAGATACAACATTTGCAAACATCAAAAAACGAAATTATCAAATTGTCAAGAAATACCTAACTTGATTGTTAGAGAATGACAGTCTAAAGCATCCTGTAAAATCGTGGCTCCTGATGTGCTGACATTTTTTTTATAAATTGTATTTTTCCAACGCTGGTCGGTCGACCAGCGTTGGAGAAAACTGGCTTTTTTAAAAACTTGCTCGTAATTGTACATATTTAGTTATTCCGCATGTTTCTTTGCAATTGATTACACGCCTGTGAATGGGTACAAGCCTGTATTCTCTGACCTTACAACTCTGCAAAGTCTATAAGTTGCTCCGTTTCATCTTAAGTGTGGTCGGGGAACCAGACTACAGGAACATGATTGGTTTTCTTGGTTTTTCCAGCATCTACAAGTCAAAACGTGAAAACAAGTCAGTTTGCTATAACAAACTAATCCTCCAAATCCATTTATTTCTGAAATTGCAGCAAGTGCAAATGTTGTACATTCCCTTTAACTAATTTCAATTCGTTCTTCCCAGAGTAGGGTAGAATAGCTCTTAAACCATGCATGGTGAACCAAAAAAAAACGTTGTAAAAGTCACAAGAATAGTGATATTATGCTAATTTGAATACAAGTCACCAAAATCAGTCTTGTCCACATGTTATTCTACAAATGTACATGTATCTAAATTTGACTTTCTTGTAGTTCACAAAAATTAGGAACCTTGCCAACAAAATGTTTTGTGGTGGGAACTTTTATTGCGGCTGTCCGATTACCGATGTCAGTGTTACGATCAGCTACCCAAGGAGCAGTAGGCATAAGTTCATTGTTGTATAACATTACATAACAATCAAATGTCATGGTTGTTTTAAGTAGAACTAACAATCCTTGTTTGAAGTATAGCTGAGCTCAGTCAAGTGGATGGAATGTTTACCTCCATGGACAAACGGGTTTCGCACATTAAATGTTCAAACTACCATAGCCAAGAGACAAAATATGCAATTTGCAATGAATTTTCCGTCACTGATGCTTAAAGACCAGTACTTTAATAGCTACTAATCAAAAGGAAGGATTGATACTTCATTGCAATGTCAGCAAGAAAGGATTGATACTTCATTGCAGTGTCGGCAAATTGGAAACCCTGTTATATAACCCTAACCCCCTAATATCTCCCCAGAGCTACCCTGCTGAATCCAACTACCTTGCTGAATAGGACTACTGTGCTGACTATAATGGTTTATCAAATGCAGTGATGCAATTGGGCCAATTCTGTGGGCCGTTCAAAGTCAAAGTTTCAAGCTTAAAACAAGCATGTTTTCCTGTGTTTCGTTGCCCATCACTGGTTCGATATTGAGTAGAAAGAACTGATATATTCCTGGCGTTCTTTTGTTGTTTCCACAGAGTCTCAAGCCATCAGCTCAACTATTTTCCCAGATCAGCAAGGTCTTGAAGCTAAGTCGAGTCCAGGAAGTAGTTGTCGGCTTAGCCCTCACCCACTCCTCCAAAGCTGACACACGAACTCATGGTAAAAATAAAGAAGTATACAAAATCAAAGTTTCCTTGGCATGAAAGAGCTGAGAATCTGTCTATTCCCCTGGACGGGATGCTAGTCCATCACAGATAATCCCCAGTTAACCATAACTCCCTAACTCTTTACTTAGTACTGGACCAAGTCCACCAAAATCCATCACTGACCCTGCTTCACATAATGCTTTAGGACCAAAACCTGTCTAATGCTGGTACCGAAATATGCTAGGTTAAGGAAAGGCTAGCAGAGGTAAAGTGGCTTGCCTAGGGACGAACATGCATACATGTTCGGATTCTCTTTCGATTATCAGCATTGTTGATAAGATTTTAAAATTTTGCATTTCTCACAGCTTTGCAGTTTGTCAAACAGAAGTTGCCAGACTTATTGCGGTCGTACATAGACAGTGGTGAGTTTATTCTCAGATTATGGTATATTTTGTCTTAATATTTATTAAGATATAGGTTTGGCAATTTGTACACGAGCAGATATATTTATGACAAGAACACAAATAGTTCAATTGAATTTTTACCTGTGGTTTGCTGTAGACGGCACTTGTCCGAGACATGCTTCATCAAATTGGTTGTCTTGATAAATAGAATTTCAGATTATAACTACGAGATTTTTAAGCACTCCAAAGAGACATCTTTCCTCAAATCCTCTTCGGTTTTTCCACCATGCAAATCTTCAAATCAAATTCATGACATTGAGATTTCAATGCTTGCCCTCCATCAGACATACGCAGCCCACAAGAGGGCGGTCTCGCTGACGTCTCGGCCGAGGTCTTGCACCTGCTGCTGACCCACCTACTCCACAGCTCCAAGGACCAGTTGGGCATCCCTGTGCCCCAGCGAGAAGCATTCCTCAAGACCATTAAAAAGGGTAAGCCGCCAAAATCAAGGGGTACCATTCAGTGGCCAGTTTGGTGACCAGCTTGAAGACAACATTTGCCTGGGTCATAGCTTACGATTTCTTTTCCTCACCGCTGTGGCGCTGGTTGGATTCCCGGCTCGGGTGCGAGTAGAGTTGTTCGTTGATTCTCTCGTGTGCCATGAGACTTTTTCTCTGGGTTCTCCGGTTTTCCTCCCTCCGCTAAAATTCAACACTTTTGATCTCTTGCTGTGCTCCGTGGTAAGACATGGGTCATATGGCGGCTGATTTGGGCTCCTTTACAAGCCTGTGGCTCAACCACGTTGTAGCCGCGTCCTTCCCAATTCAGCTTTTGCTGTAAGGACAAGCAGCCCCGCAATTTATTGATTAATTTTTATTTGCACAAACTTTGTTTTATTTTTAACCCGTACTTTCAAAAATACCCAGCATCAAAGGCTAATTTCATGAAGCCAATAAGCATGGCATATAACCATCAGCTCAGCATAATCATGTTACCGGTCAAAATGTGATTTGATCTATATTTCTTGTGACTTCTTCTCAACTGATTTTGGCTCGGCACATAGATGTGCTGAACAAAATTTTCTCAGCGAGAAAAGTAATGGTTCTTTCCTATTCAGATATGCTTCTCTTAGACCAAATATTACAAAAATGGTTTGTTGTCCGAACCTTTTGGTAAAAGGAGGAAGCAGGCCATTCTTTTTGTTGTTTGTTTTTGGCCAATTACCAATGCAAGATGGCCGCAGGTCTTTTTTAGAACTTCTGCTTTCGTGAGATTTTTTTCCAAGACGGCGGATGATGTTGTCCCAAACTTTCCAATCACTTTTCTTTTTAACCTAAAAATGGCTACTCCTTCATGTTGGAAACAAATACTAAGAAACAAGGGCAAGAATGTTGCAACCTGACGCCACTTCAGCAGTTGTGTACAAAGTCTATGGAGAGTCAAGAAAATGTTCTAAGTATTTCCTAACAAAATTGGAAATGTTTCTTAGTCCCAGATTCATGTCTTACCATCATTTTTGCAATGACTGACCTTCATTTAGAAGGTTAGTCATTTAGAATTTGTGCGATCGTGAAAATAAAAAAACAAAATATGACAGATTTTGCCATTAAAAAGGTGAAAAAAACACGCGGTAGGAAAAAAGCATTCGGGCGAGGACAAGAAACTGTTATATATTTTTATTTGGCCTTACAGACTGACCATGAACATGAAAAGAGAACATCTTAAATAGTTAAGAGTGCCTCATTAGCAAAATATTTCCGCAGATTTAGTGAAAATGGGCCTCGCTAGAAAATATTGAGGTTTACAGTCAATTGTATGTTTTGGCGGGAGCCGAGTTGCCTGGACTAGTGGGTTCAACAGGGTTACATCTGAAATGGGGCCCTTGTGTTACGGTTTCATGGACCCCAGTCACATACGTACCCTGCTAAACACAAACATTTTCTGGACATAAAAATTGTCTATTAAAAAAACATTCATGGCCTCGCACATTTGTATTTGTTGTATCACTTTTGACAAGAGTCTTGGTTGATTTCTGTACAAAATATATTTAAAGCAATGCTTTACTTCACAGCTTCATGGTATCCTGGGAACATATTTATTCAACTTGCTTCGTTTTTTCCTCGCAGACTTTCCTCCGGACCAGGTTCCTGTGGTGCTGGTACCTTTGCTGTACAGTGACACGCAGGACATCAGGATGGATAGGATCGTCAATGATAACACAAACCTGCCCAAAGCAGTGGTGAGTCCACCAAATCAGAATTATGGCAATTCACCAAATGGAAAAAATAAATCAAAATTATGATCCTACCAGGCAATCTTCCAGTTTGCACCACAGATTTCTACCCCACGTCTTTTATGCATGTATGTTCTATACTTGGTGATCATTTAATGCACCATTGTGATGATTTTATGTTGCTTAGTGGTCTTGTACATAACTGGAGTTATGGAAGGGATGTGGTGTCTGTTGCCTCCAGAGCACTTGGCTCCTAAGATGCCAAAACAGTGCGAAGGTTTGGTCATGGAAAGCTCTAATTTTGTCCTGCAAATGTCGTGGAAGTTCATTTTAAGATGTCTGTGGGAACCCTGACTTTGTTAAAAACTTCTATATTTATGATGAAATTTAAACAGTTACTCGCAACAAGAAATATGAAACGTTGATAATTTTGCCTGGCATCCACCAAGGATTCCTCATCAGTGGTCGGCTGTGTCATGTGACGCGGCTGAGATAACAGGATATACGTCACATGACGCGGCTGAGATCACAGGATCTACGTCACGTGACGTCAGAGGGTGTGGTAGGCGTAGGTAGGGGGTTGGGGTTGGGGGAGGGTTGTTGGTTTTGGTGTCTGTTGACCTGATGTGATTCGCCTCACAGACACCTCGCTCAAACCATTTTCCTTCTCTGTCTATGACTTTGGTCTATTTTATGGTAAGCAGATGTTTCCTCTCACCCAGATGATGACCTACTGGGGAAGACTCCCTATTGTGCTCTGTGAGTCATTTTTTTTTAGTGCTCGCTCGGTCTCTCCGAAGTAGCTCACCTCACACTGTTCACGCTGTAGGTTGTAACAACCCACTTTTGTTCCCCATGGAATCCTTGGCTTTGTACTAGTATGATCCTCAAGGTGTTCTAAATATCAGGTGTTTAATTATGTTCTGTTTCCTTTTGTCTCCCTCCAAGATGGACGGCTCTCTAGCCGACATGATGCAGGAAGTCGGCTACAGCTGCTGTGCCACCATGGACGAGTGCCGCAAGTCGCTAGTCCAGTTTGGCGCGGGCAGCCTGACTGCCTCGGCAGTAGCCAGAGTCATCGGCATGATGGCCAAGTCACACACGGGCCTGACGGAAAACATGCCACTACAGGTCAGTTTATTTTGAATTCTAGCGACAATTTTACGGTTTTGCTAACAGGTAAAAACTAAAAAAAGTAAAGTCTGTTACCAGCCAATGTGGCCCATCAGGCCGGCTTTTATCGCCGGTTTCAGTAGCATGAAACGACTGAGAATATTTCTACTCCTCCCTGGATGGGATGGTAGTCCATCGCTGGTCACTCCCCAGCTAATGCCGGTACCCATACTCCTGGGTGGAGAGGGGCAAGTGGGGGTGAAGTGGCTTGCCCAAGGACACAACGTGTGGCCAGCAGCTGGATTTGAACCCCTGACCCTCTGATCATGAGTCACGAACCCTAACCACTAGGCCACGTTCCCCACTGCTAACAGGGCCTTCATCTATCAAGTGTCTCTCCCCCCCCCCAATAAAAAACCTCAACATGTCATCTTTTTCGCAGCTTTTACAAAAAAATACAACGCAATCCTGATACATAGTTTACAGGTTTTGCTCATGAGCTTTTCAACAACAACAAAATCTTTCCAATAGGAATAACATTTATTGAGTAATGGCCAATGAAAAAGAAGTGCAGCTTTTTTCTTTTTTTTCATTGTGCGGCTTTTTCATTTTGCATGGGTGTACCCCTATGTTCCCCAAAATCCAAGGTCGATAAGGTTACTGTAACCATAATTTTTTATGTTTTTTGGCCTAATGAACAATTACATCTTGTAATAGTGCTGAAGGTGACCACACGCCTGAGTGCAATCATACTGGGGCAGGCATCAGACTTTGTGAAGTGGCTAAACATTAAAACGGCTCTTAACAGTTTTGCTAAACATTTAGGAAATTAAAAGGCATAATCCCATCCCTAGTGAGTGCTCAGATTGATCTGTAGTTTGATCATCTCCTGCAGTCCATCACCGGAAGCAGTGTGTGGAGCGAGGGCAAGGACAAGACCGACCCCAGCTCCCAGCCCACCACGTGGAACGTGGACGTCTTCGTGGAAGTGGTCAAGGACCTGGCCCCGCACCTGAACTTCCGGGAGGTCATCTTTGAGATGGACCACCCGGGGTTCCTGCTGAAGGATGCGCAGGGTTTGCGCATCGTCAAGAACGCCTTCCTGCGAGGGCTGCAGGACGTGTTCCCCATCGAGGTGCTGTACAGGGTCTGGAAGAACACAGACGGACAGGTGAGGGAAAAGTCAATCAAGGTCCCCACAGTCCTGGAAAAAAATCCTTGAAAATTCTGGACTTTATCATTGAAAGTCATGGAAAAGTCATTGAAATCTGTTATTTGCATTCCAGTGTTCTACTTCCTCTTTATGCATGTTGTCCGATACTTGTTGCATGTTCGATGCACCATCGGGATGCCTTTTTGTTGCTCAGTAGTTTTGTTTCAAACTGAAAGGTTTTAATGGAGAGGCCTCTTTTGCCTCAATGTAATTACAAATACATCAGTTTTGAAGTCATTTTGAATGACACTTGAATGGCAGATTGCAATGTTCAGAAAAAAGTGAGACAGGCAAAATCTCACACTTAGGAGCCTACATTTAGAGAATGGCCCGTATATATACAAATATTCATTTAATCCAAATTGATTTTTCATGTCATGAAACAGTAACTTAAATTTGGTAGATCTTTTATTGGAAGGGGGATATTTCAACCTGATTTAAAGTATTAAACATTAGATTTATTTTGAATGTCTTGGCTCTTATTTCTTACACTAAATCAAAACCACATCAAGGCATCGCTTCATATGGCATCAACCCGAAACAAATTTTGAGAATATATCCCACTCAGTGACAATAGTAACCTTTTTACAAGACGGAAATCTTGACAATATGGAAAACTTGACAGTAGTAATATTTTTTGAAACCCCACCAGCTGTCCTGGATCCAGCTGGCGTTGGCCAATCCAGAGGTCTTCTGTTTTGCCGACTACCCTTGCCACACGGTCGTCATCGATATCCTGAAGGCCCCACCAGAAGAAGATAACAGAGAGGTGGCTACATGGTGAGACTAAAACTAAGCAGTGTCTGCTTAATTTAGATTTTCCTTCACACGTGAAAAATTAAGTCCGTCATGATCCAATATGGCCCATCAGCCCGGCGTTTATCTCTGGTTTCCTTGGCATGAAATGACTGAGAACATTTCTATTCCCCCCTGGATGGGATGCCAGCCCATCGCAGGTTACTCCCCAACTTATGCTGGTACCCATTTATACTCCTGGGTGGAGAGAGGCAAGTGGGGGTAAAGTGGCTTGCCCAAGGACACGACATATGGCCAGCAAGATTCAAATGTTCAACCCTCAGATTATGAGTCACGAACCCTAACCACTCAGCCACACACCCCGTCCCTCACAAGAAGAGGGAAGAAAATAATTAAAATATTTGTTTACTACAGTTTCAGGCGGCCAAGTTGCACACCAGTGTTGAACTAAATTATCCAAAAGGTTTGAACTAACTACGACTTTTGAAACAGTCCGGCGTAATTCAAATGTCAGTTAACATATAATACATGTAGTTCACCTTTCTGAAACAAAAGTCAATTGGGGTTGACCTGAGTTGTGGGTCAAACAGGATCTGCACCATCAATGGCAACAACTTTGTGAATAGACCAATCTATAAAAGCTCCGCCTCCATGTTGCTTTGACCAATCACAGCCAGGAAACCCTCCTCTCCGGCTGACAAATTCAGCTATGCCATCACAGCAGTCAAAATCATTCTAGTGAATTTTTTGAACAGTTACAAATTCCCTTGTTGATTTGAAATAGCCATGCTTTGACTGGAGGTGATTGATATGCCAGCTGTAGCTACCAGTTCCCTCTTTCGTCTGTTGACAGGATTTGACTAGTCATAGTGTTTACACGAATGTGATCTGACTGTTTTTTTTACAAGTCTGTATACAAATGCATGGCAGGGGAAGTGGAAGAAATTTTTGACTGTCTGTGACTGATCAAACAATTATGAGGGTTGCATGCAAAAAAGTCAGACGTGCATGCACATTGGTATAACGTGCCACTAGAACATGCAGTGTGGCATTCTAGATGCGCACCTATTATTGCAAACATGCGCAATTGGAGGGGCTTCATTTAACGGAGTTCTCATTTAAAACCTTCTTTTATCAAACACCTGTATTCCTCATTGTTTGATGCAATCGCAGGAAGTCGCTGGATCTCGTCGAGACGCTTCTCAAGCTCGCCGAGGCGGGCAAGTACGAGCAAGTCAAGAGCCTGTTCAGCTTTCCCATCAAGCATTGCCCGGATATGCTCCTCCTGGCTCTCCTACAAGTACAGGTATGTAGAGGTCGTGACCTTTTAACCTTTGACACCAGAGGAGGAGGGGGGGGGGGCGGTAAAAGTGTGTCGTGCTGTGTGTGGAGATTTTCAGTGCCGTGGGTGTGTTCCGTCCTGTTCATTCGGTTTGAGAATGCACAGTATGCATGGTATGCTCAATGTCTACGTTACAAATCCACATCGTTATTTTCTTTACGAGGTGTCGTTTTTCATGCCCACTGAGCACCTTATTGTTTAATCTGTGATTCGCTGTCCTGCTGAAATCCCAATTTTATCACAGAGTTTGAGGAGAAAGCGAAACAGCAAAACCAAAACAAAATGTAATTGTTTAAAAGCTTCTGTTAGCAACAACCATGCATAATGCCATGAGTGAGATAAGGTAAGAATTTTGCAGGGACATTTTTCAAGATGTCCAGCCTGATATTGAAATATTCTCGAAAAAGTGGTGCACTATACACTGCTGTAAATGGTTTGTGTCTCCTTAGTTTACAAGATAAGGGGTTGGCTTCCTAATCTAAATTCCACTTCAAATTATACAATTCTGTAAACTATTCGCTCCAGTAAAATGGAAAATCATTTCCTGTTAGTACACTTTAACTGTAAAATAATGTTTTTGGACAGATGGTCTGTTTACAGTCATTTTGGTTCCTCTTCTCGGCCCCGCCCCCTTGACTTCAGTCATATAAGTAGGGATTACAAAATTCTGATTCCATCATTTGCCCGTATTAACGGAAATCTCAGAGGAAACTGGAGCATGAGTTAATGCAGCACGTTATAGCCACTGCCGCACTGATGAAGGCTAATGTACAGGATAAATGGCGTCGCAAGCAGATGTGCCAGCAGGTATCGGCAGTTGAGGAGTTCACTCGTTATACCCACTTGGGAAAAGCACGTTGGCAGAAACGTTTGGCTCTTTTGGAAGCCTAATTTGGACGTTCATTTGCTCAGTTGGAAGTCCATAGTTGCAGGAATATAATCCTGCATCCAGGAAATCTGGATTTTCGGGTGGTTCCACTTATGTTCCATTGTTCAGCGTTCATTTATAAATTCTAACAGCTCTTCAAATTGTTACAAACTTTGTTGATTTCCCTGACATGTTTTCCTGTTACATTCCATTGTTACAAGTCCTGCATCCAGCAAAATTCTTGAAAAGCTATTTTCAATCTGAATTTTAGAGTACTTGGGTGTTTACGCTAATGTTCCATTGTTCAGCATTCACTTATTACTTCTAACACCACTTCAAATTGTTACAAAGTTTGTTTGATTTCCATGACATAGTTTTCTTGTTATGAATACATGTTTGTTTAGTTATGATTAATTTTTCAGTTGTGTTATTGTCACTTGTGACATATAAGTAGTGTGTTGTTTTTGGAGTTTTAACAGTATTGATATTCCATTGTTACAAAAATGTGTTATTATTCCATGAGATATGTTCATGTTATAAATGCTTACGTATTTGTTTTGTTGTGATGAATTTTTGGGAGGTTGTTTTATAGTTACTTGCAACATATGAGAATGGGTGGGGTTTTTTGTTTAGAGTTGTAACAGTTTTGATGATTTAAGCAACTAATTTGCTCCATTATCTTTGTTTTTTTATTATATCATAGGTGTTACTCATCTTGTTACAAAATAAACTTATTTGAAAGTGTAATGTAACTAACGTTACTTCAGTGTTATTATAGTTATAAAAGCAGCCTAAAATTTGTATTCATGTTGCTTCCTTGTTTTTAATCATTTCATTTAACCTCAGATGCTTGTGTTTTAAATGAAGCCACTCATTTTCTTCTTTAGCAATTTTGCTCTGCAAGAATTGCTTTGTTTGTCATTTGTCATATTTCATTTATATCGCAAATGAATTAACATTTTGGGTTTTTCTCCCAAAACCAGCCCATCTGGACTCCATTGCGACATGAGCTCATCTCAACCTTGATGCCCATCTTTCTTGGCAATCATCCAAATTCTGGCATCGTGCTGCACTACGCATGGCACGGACAGGTAGGAATACCCCGTTTTAATTTCTCTCAGTCTCTATTGATTTTATCGATTGATTATTGGTAATTCCAAAGTAAATAGATCACAAGTACATCACAAGTCTGGTCTCGGGTAGATTCACAAGTCCAGTCACAAGTATTCACATGGGATGTGAGCACTAATGAAGCAATGCCTTTGTCACAGTTCACTTGTGAGAGGACTTGGGACTGGATGACTTGTGATGGACTTGTGATGGGCTAATGATGACTTTGTGATGGACTTATGATGACTTTGTGAAGGACTCATGATGACTTTGTGATGGACTTACGATGACTTTGTGATGGACTTATGATCACTTTGTGATGGACTTATGATGACTTTGTGATGGACCTATAATAACTTTGTGATGGACTTGTGATGACTTATGATGACTTGTGATGGACTTATGATGACTTGTGATAGATTTATGATGACTCTGTGATGGACTTATGATGACTTTGTGAGGGACTTATGATGACTTTGTGATGGGCTAATGATGACTTTGTGATGGACTTATGATGACTTTGTGATGGACTTATGATGACTATGTGATGGACTTATGAGGACTTTGTGATGGACTTATGATGACTTTGTGATGGACTTGTGACGACTTGTGATGGACTTATGATGACTTGTGATGGACTTATGATGACTTTGTGATGGACTTATGATGACTTTGTGATGGACTTGTGATGACTTTGTGATGGACTTATGATGACTTTGTGATGGACTAATGATGACTTTGTGATGAACTTATGATAACTTTGTGATGGACTTATGATGACTTTGTGATGGACTTATGACGACTTTGTGATGGACTAATGATGACTTTGTGATGAACTTATGATGACTTTGTAATGGGCTTATGATGACTTGTGATGGACTTATGATAACTATGTGATGGACTAATGATGACTTTGTGATGAACTTATGATGACTTTGTAATGGGCTTATGATGACTTGTGATGGACTTATGATAACTATGTGATGGACTTATGATGACTTTGTAATGGACTTATGATGACTTTGTGATGGACTTATGATGACTATGTGATGGACTTATGATGACTTGTGACTCATAACCTGTGCCTTGACTACAGCACTGCCTGGCAATTTTTGATAACAGGGAGCAATTATTTCCTTATCTTTGAGTGAATGGCACTTTCCTGTAAGCATTTATTGTAGAACATGCTCGATCAGAAATATCTCAGAAGCTGCGGGCCAACAAATGCGTGTTCATGCATGAGTCACGTGATTGTGCCATATAATTTCTGGAAGGAGTAGTGTTTTGAGTAAAAAAAAAAAAAAATCATTTTTTGACCCCAGTGACCCCATGATGACATTTGACCCCAGTTTGGTCATGTGACATAATGGGGCTGGGCTACAGATACTTTTGACAAAGTTTGGTCGAAATTGGTCAAAATATGCAGGAGCAATAGACAATGTCAACATTTGTTACTAACTAACGAACTAGCAGACTAACAGAGACACAGGATGATTTGTTGAGCCACTATCCCGCAGCTAAAACATGGGTCTTCCTGTAAAAATAAAACATAATAATTGAAAAATACGTCGTTTATATTGCTTTTGTTGATTCAGGGTCAGTCGCTGACCATCCGTCAGATCGTGATGCATTCCATGGCAGAGTGGTACATGCGGGGGGAGAACGACCAGACCCGTCTCTCCCGCATCCTGGACGTAGCCCAGGACCTCAAGGCTCTGTCCTTGCTGCTCAACGCCACGCCGTTTGCCTTTGTTATCGATCTGGCCTGCCTGGCGTCCAGACGGGAGTACCTGAAGCTGGACAAATGGATGACAGACAAGATCAGAGAGCATGGGGTGAGTTTGTTCATCATCAAATCCCAAGAATTTTTAAATCTTGGCGCAATCTGGTCTCAACCTTCCAAGGAACACATTTATACTCCTGGGTGGAGAGAGGCAATTGCAGTAAAGTGTACACAAGCAACATGTCCCCCTTAATGGTTTGAACCTGTGTACCATGGCATATAATAATAATAATATCGGAGTCTTATATAGCGCACGTATCTACCAGCAATTAGGTACTCAAGGCGCTGGAAATTATGTCTATTATTAAAGAAAGGTAAGTAAAGTTTATGAGAAATATGAGACCCATTATGTAGTACCTTATAATGGTTTACATGGTACTGCTGCGCATATTGCAGCCACTGCCAAAAACACCGGGGCAAACCCCTCCTCTTAGCGATAAGTGTTACTGGGTTCTTTAACGTGCATTACACAACACACGGGACCTACGACTTTACGTCCCATCCGAAGGACGAAGCAATAATGGTAAAGTGCCTTGCTCAAAAGCACAAGCACCATGTTCCCACGGTCAGGATTCGAACCCATGTACCATGGCACACGAGTCGAACACCGTAACCATTGGACCACAGCACCCCATATGAGTCCAATGCCATCACCACTGGATTAATAAGCAGAAGCCCCTGAAATTTGTGTCAATTACCTAAAACTAAAAGAAGGGAATGTTTGTTTCTGTGATCAGGAGCCGTTTGTCCAGACCTGCGTGACATTTCTGAAGCGTCGGGCACCTCAGGTCATCGGCGGTCTGGCCCCGGAGCCCAAGGAGCTACCAGGGGGAGGCAAGACTGGTGTCCTGCCCCCAGAGACTATAGGGACCATGCTGGCATGCCTGCAAGCATGCGCAAGGTGAGCAGACTAACGGTATTGTTTCAGATTGGCGCTGCAAAGTTGCTCAGAACCAACTAATATAGGCTCCGTGCACAAGTACCCCCTCAATGGTTACAAAAGGGAGAAGTGGGATGACCAATGGGAGGGGCATTCGAACGCATTGCCGACAACGCCTGATGTTCACGCAAAGATGCTGTGACTTTGCACACAATCAGATTAAAACATGTCACGTGTATTTGCCTGATAGAATTCAGCCTATTGTATGTACATATTAATTTAGTAGCTTAATTTGTAATTACAGGTTCCGGGTCTTGTACAAGCATATGCTTTTTACCTGGATCCCTCGTATCATGCTTTGTCATTCTTTATATAGTTTCCTGTTTATTATGTTGTTTGTGCTATGATATGAAAATAAACCATAACCATAACCATGTGTACTTCGCACCGTATGCGTGCGAACCAGTACGCGCATGCATTTTGTCTTATCAACTGGGCTCTGAAAAAGTGGTCAAAAAGCTCCATGTATAGTTTGTGCACGGAGTCCGTAAGGTACCCCCTGCGATCTATCCTAACAGATTTTGGTTTTGTAAAAATAGTTTCAATTGACCAGACTCTGTGGAGTCATTCTGAATGACTGGGACAGGCAGTCGTCTTTCAACAAAGTTGTACCTAACTGTTTCAAACGTCAAACTCTTTCAGTTTTGCATTACTCTGTAATGCCCTGCCAGAAATACGTTTGAAATGGCAAAATCTTGTGTGAATTGACGGGCAAGTGTTATTACTTTGATGGAGCAAACACTGTTTTGTTTTAAACTGTGGATTCTTCATTATTACTCCTCAAAATGGTGTTCAAATTGTCAATTATGGAGCTTTTAATGACATTTTCTGGTGCGAGTTGTAATTGTTCTATTGATCTTTGTTCATTTTTTGTTCAGTCTTATGTCACTAATGGTATATTTTAGGACAGTGAGAGTCAGTAAATGTGGATATTTTATGGAATTTGATAACAAGTTGAAGTTTGAAATTTCCCTTGTTCATGACAACCATGTTTTCTGTCTTGCTCTTGATAGTTCCGTTGCCCCTGACCTTGCTGAGACCATCATGACAATGGTAGCCAACTGTTCCAATCTCCTCAAGTCCCGGCCGCCGCCGGGCGTCATCAAATCTCAGGTTGGAATCTCGTCATTGTCTCCTGGCATAGGACCACAGGTGAGAAAAGAAAACCGATCTATTAGTCCCCGACACTGCAATACTGGCAAGGACATGTGTGCCTCCCTAATGCCATATTAAGCCACCCTAAGTGGGACCTTGCGACGACACTAAACAGTCAGCGATGGTCTGTTTTTGCTTTAAAAAATCAGCTGTCGTTCTGTGTGCAGTTATGACGTTGTGCGTGCATCTGGATCATCTGATTGTAATGCGAATTGTTGTTGCGTCGTCGTTGACGTTACCATGGTTGTGATTATCTTGTGTTGAGATGGCTGTTGTTCCACAATAATCAAACAATTTCTTAGCTGTGTGATCTGAGCATGACCTTTGTGCTTGATGCAGACGGTTTTGTCTTGGTGTGAGCAAATCACAGGTCGACCTGATCACTGTACACACACACACTGATCTGTTACACGGTACCCTGTGGAGACATGGGTAAAATAGGGAACAAAAGATTAAATGCAGAGCAATTTCTGTAGGTGAATACGTCTCCACAAGGTTATCACGAAATAGATATATGGATTTTACTCAAAAACTAAGAATTTCCAAGGTGTGTTGATGTGTCGCAAATTGAAGAATTTTATGTAAGGGATATTAAGTCCAAATTTCCGCCCAGGAAATTAATTCTGGTTAAAATAGGAGCATTTTGAAACTACACTTTCAAACTCCTTTCAAACTACACATACAACTTCCAGTATGTATGTACACACATAGTGTAAGCTATTGTGCAAACCTATGACGGATTATTGAAGGGTGTGGAACGCATTGCTTGCCCAGATTATCCATCACTATGAGAACTGCTTTTTGATGAAAAAGAATTTTCAACGTCATGATCTTTTCTTAGGAAGGAGGATAAAATTCCTTTGAACTTGGCTTACCTTGTTTTTTGTTGTGGTTATTTCTAGATGGAAGCCATGGGTGGCATGTCTGGTCTTGGCAGCACCACCCCAACCACTCCAGGCATCCACAACTTCCCAAACAACCCTCTCAGCTCCGCCTTCGGCAACATCCAATCAGCAGCCGCCGCGGCGGCCTCTCAGAAACCATTCCCTCCCCTGGGCGGGGGTTCCATGGGTGGTAGCTCCCTGGGTGGGGGATCTCTCGGGGGAAGCGGCCTGGGCACTGGGAGTCTGGGATCCAGCAGTCTTGGGGGAGGCTTAGGATCAGGGGGCCTGGGCTCTTCCGGCTTCGGCGGGGGTCTGGGTGCCAATGGGCTGGGCGGGGGTTCAGGCAGCAGCCTTGGGGGTGGGCTAGGGGGTGGGTTTGGGAGTAACTCCTCCGGAGGGTTCGGTAGCGGGTCCGGATTGGGTGGCGGGTTTGGTGGAAGCTCAGCTGGCGGGTTTGGATCTGGTTCGGGTTCAGGGTTAGGCGGAGGGTTCGGGAGCTCCTTGGGGAGTGGTCTCGGGGGCGGGCTGGGTGGGGGATTAGGCTCCAGTGGGCTAGGAGGAGGCTTAGGTGGGGGTCTAGGGAGTGGTTTTGGGAGTGGCCTGAGCAGTGGCCTAAGCAGTGGCCTAAGCAGTGGTCTAAGCAGTGGTCTAGGAGGCACACTTGGAGGTGGGTTAGGGGGTGGACTGGGAGGCGGTCTCGGTGGTGGACTAGGTGGTGGACTAGGTGGAGGACTAGGTGGAGGTCTTGGAAGTTTGAGTGGAGGCAGCAACATACAATCAAACCCACATGGTAAGATTAAATTGTTTTTAAAAATGTTCAGTTTTTGATGTGACATACCTTTCAAACATGTATTGGTTGATTCAAAGTATTGCTAGGTCAGGGTACCAACAAACACTCTTTGTGAAGTTATGAATTTCAAGCTTTTGGAACCAGTTTTATATTTCATCGAAATGGAGCTTAAATCTTCATTCTTGTCACATTTGCTGCATCTGTACGATTAACATTCTTCATTTGTGTAAATAATACAGACTCCTTTACATAGAATCTGAAAAAGCTGCCAACACTTGTCAGAGGTCTGATGTGTTTCTCTTCCCCCCCCCCCAATTCTTTATTTGGGACAGAACTACGAGGGAACAGCGCTCTGCCATCAGTAGGCGGGGACCCTTTCAGTAGGCAAGCCGGTAGCACTGCTCCTGGTGCAGGGTTTGGGAACCAGACCCAACCGGCTATCAACCAGCCAGCTAAATCCAACGCAGGGGCCATCAAACCAGGTGAGAATCAGACGGGCACTCTGCTTACACCAGAGTACAGTCAAGGTGCTTGTGATGGAGCACAAGTAATCACAATTCCATCGCAAATCAATCACAAGTCAATCACAAGTCATTCAGTCTCGAGTCAACTCCCAAGCCATTCTCATGCACCGTGATCAAGAACTTCCTTTGGTACTTTTCATCCTATGTTGTTTTATGACTTGACTTGTGGATTGATGTTTTGACTTAGTTGTGACTGGACGTGTGATGTACTTGTGATCCATCACCAGCGCCTTGACTACAACACCGGCTTATGCAATTCATTATATCTCTGATGGAAAGTGCAAGTATGACACAGATAACGAAAGACTCATATAACGACTCATACGATGGAATTTTGGTGTGGGGTGATGTAAATCAAATTAGGAGTTGCCCTTCACGGACATATAAACACTGTATACTCGGTGTGTTACCTCCCAAGTGAAAGTTGGAAAAAATCACTCGGGTGGGACTTGAACCCACAACCTCCTGCTTTCTAGTGCAGACGTCTTACCACTCGACCACCGGTTGGCTGGTTCGAATGTGATGTACATCGCAGCGGGTACCGCATTAACTATTCATAAGATAGAATTTTGCATCTGGGTGAGGTAAATCAAATTAGGATTTGCCCTTCACCGACGTATAAAAACTGTATACTCAGTGTGTTACCTCCCGAGTGAAAGTTGGAAAAATCACTCGGGTGGGACTCAAACCCACGACCTCCTGCTTTCTAGCGGAGACGTCTTACCACTCGACCACCGAGCTAATGGGATCGGTTGGCTGGTTCGAATCTGATGTACATAGCAGCGGGTACCGCAATAACTATTCATGAGATGGAATTTTGTGTCCGGGTGATGTAAATCATATTATACGTCGGTGAAGGGCAAATCCTAATTTGATTAATGTTCGGTTCACCGCGGCTCTGGAGTGCCAGCTTGAATCAGGTGTAACTCTCACATCTTTTCTCTCCCCTTCAATCTACCCAGGTGATATCTCCAATATCTGGCCCGAGCTGAGCCAGACCTACCCGCCTGAGATTGACGAGGAGGCCAATGGCTACTTCCAGCAGATCTACAACCAGCCGCCCAGTCCCGTCATGTCGGTGGACGACGTGCTGCAGATGCTGAAACGATTCAAGGACTCGCAAGTCAAGAAAGAGAGGGTGGGTTACATTGTCAGTCTGACGGAGACAAGACTTTCGTCCACCGTCTGCTTTGGAATCAGGCTTGAGCAAATCATCACAAGTCAATCGGAAGTCAATCTTAAGTCATCACAAGTCAATTACAAGTCAATCACAAGTCATCGCATGTTGATCACGAGTCGATCACTTGTCAATCACATATCGGTCACAATGACTTCTGATTTGTACTTGTGCTTGTCTGTGATGGACTTGTGCTTGTCTTGTGATTGGCCTTGTGATTGACACATTACAAGTGTGGAATCGGAATAGGCCAATTGATTAAGCCTCGCCCATGGTGTTCTGACCAATTACAGCTGTGGTTTATGTCCGATATGAGGGCACAAAAGTCCAAAATGCGAGCACACACGTGTGTCACATTCAGCTGGAACATGCAGCACGGCATTGTAGAAGAGTAAGTGTCAATTGCCCACGTGCGCAGTGAGTGGGGCTTACTGGAGAGGATTGGTATGTTGGGAATCGACTCTCAGTTGCAGCAAATTCTATTTCCACATAGTTGTTTCCAGGCAGTGTCCAACATTTCAACTTAAGTAGAATTTATCAGGGATGTAGTCGAATCCATCCCAAGTCCACTCACAAGTCTGGTCACAAGTTATAGTGGACGAACAATAACAATCGAATGTCTTTGTCAAAGTTCATTTGAATAGCTTGTGAGTTGAATTGGGACTGGAGGACTTGTGATGGACTTGCAGGGACTTGTGATAGACTCAACTACATCCATGGAACTTGTTTAGGGTTTTGGTAATGATTTTTAACCGCAAAAGACCTTTGAGGGTCAAATTTGAACAAAATCATGACTCCAGGATGGAATCTGAATTGTTTCCTGAGTGTCGCAGCTTTTTTATTGCACAAGACTATTTTGAATTGACAACCGTTGTTCTCTGTGTATCTTGCAGGAGGTGTTCATGTGCATGCTGCGTAACCTGTTTGAGGAATACAAGTTCTTCCCCCAGTACCCTGAGAGGGAACTGCTCATCACGGCATGTCTGTTTGGAGGAATCATCGAGCAAGGATTGGTCACGTGAGTCATGATGCTTAAATTACTTGGCTACGGCTGGCGGTAACACCAGAGATGAAACTTTTCCGATTTTAATCGGAAATCCGACTTTTTGAATTTTCCAAGGAAATTTCCGATTGTTTTACAGTGTGTCCCACAAAATTTGATTTTGTAACGATTTTCTCACAAAATGTCATTTTATTTCAATCATAATTTCGTAGAAAAGTCGATGAAAAGTTGATAGAAATGGCACGTTAAAATCATCGCAAACGTAGTTTTAATCTTTATCACCAGTCGTTATTGGAGTGTTTCAACGGTAGAAACACAGGGCATAACACTGATCGGAGCCTTCTCCAGCTGGACAAAAGGTTAAACATAGACAGGTGACATGGAAAAATCACTGTGTCGCACATGCGTGTGAATATGCAATGGTACCAGCGTACGTACCGCACCGTGCCGTCCGCTAGCACATGGCCGGTCGGGAACGGTAGCCTTGTGAGCGATCCAGTGCAGTGGATAAAGTCATTATGTTGTGCAATTTTCGGAGGTTTCAGATTTATTTGTACAAAATGCAATGCTCTAAAAATCATGAATGCAAGTGGAGTAGTGGAGTTGTGTGTGGTTGAATCATGGACATGATTGAAGCACCATGAACGGTGCCCTTTTGGACTTTTCCCTCCACTTTCTCAAGTAAGAAGTGAACTTCTTTATTGATGACTCCATTACTCTAACCGTAATTCAGGCATTTTATGTAATGAAAACATAAACCATTTTTTTTTTCATCGTAAAATTTTGTTTGAATCGAAAATAAAGCAGGAGTTGGTGTCCGGAAATTGGGCATAAAGTGTATTGTACATGCATGTACATGTGTGTAACTGCAGCGCAGCCCAGATTTCGGACACGTATTTTGTTCGGCCTATTTTCCAATTTTTTTTCCATATGCCAGTTTCATCTCTGTAACACACATGTCTATGAGAAGTGGCCTCAGCCGCTTCCATTGATGCATGTTTAATTGCAATCCATGGCCAAGTTAGTCAGACCCGGGCCGTAGTATCCCCCCAATATAAAACCAAAGGTGAAGTTAAGTTTGGAGAAGCTTAACCCATTAGTCCCTGTACCATCCAAAACCGCCCTGCTTGTTACTCCCTGGAGTAGCAGGCAGCCGCCGAAGCACTCATTGGTGTTATCGATTCATCAGAGAATAAATACAATGTAATACTAAGGCTGATGTGTTAATGAAAGTGTGAGCTCTGTGCCCAATTTCATGGCTCTGCTAACCACGGAATTCCGTGCTTATGATCACCATTTTACACTAACAGCGGTAGCATCAAAATTCTGTGCTCACCCTGTAAGCACAGAATCCTTAGTTACAAGATGAACACATGCGCAGAAGCGAAAATTCCTCGCTAATCCGTGAAATACATTTACCGTAAGCATGGAATGTTTGATACAGTAAGCAGAGATTTTTCGCTGACGGTAAGCAGAACCATGAAAATGATTCACTGGGCCAACCTGACTCCCCATATGATAAAATGCACCCCAACGAAATGTTCCCTCTTGTTTTCTGAAACCCTACAGTTACATGGCCCTAGGCATCGCCCTTCGTTACGTCCTCGAGGCCCTGCGTAAACCCCACGGCAGTAAGATGTACTACTTTGGGATCGCGGCGCTGGATAAATTCAAGACTCGGCTCAAGGACTATCCGCAGTACTGCCAGCACCTGTCCGCCATACCTCACTTCAGTGAGTTCCCACAGCATCTGACAGAGGTGAGTATTAATCCATTGCTATGATGTCAGGGGGGGGGGGGAGTGTGGCCAAGTGGTTAGGGTTTATGACTCGTGATCAGAGGTTCATGGATTCAAATACAGCTGCTGGTCATATGTTGTGTCCTTGGGCAAGCTACTTTATCCCCACTTTCCTCTCTCCACCAGGAGTATAAATGGTACCGGCATTAGCTGGGGGGTAACCTGCATCCCATCCAGGGAGAGTAGAAATATTCTCAGTCGTTTCATGCCACTGAAACCAGAGATAAACGCCGGCCTGATGAGCCACATTGGCTCGTGACAGACTTTACTATGACCTCACACTAATGTTAAAAGTGTGGATTCGTATCTATGAATCCTTTTTATTGGACATAAAATGTAGATTTGGAACTACAAATCTTTAGTCAAGTATGGATTCGGAATTGAACACAATATTTAACTAACACTAGAGCACTAATTTCTTGTTCTCTTGCATAGAATACTTTCCTACTTGTCTAGGGAACGGACAATTTGAATCGTGTGTGTGATAGTATAACATATTTAAATGGAATTGAAGAGAAATCCATGGGGCTTTCAGTAGGTGCCAGAAGTAGAGTGGAAATGCAAGTGGACCCAAGTTTCACAATAACCGCCGAGATCAAACACAAATTAGAAAGACTGCTTGGCCAAGAATACACTAGAACAATCAGCTGTCGTATGCACTTAGAATGGACTGAAATGTCACAATTAATTCAGACAACTATGGTAAATGGTCAGAAAATGTCTGATGTCCAACCGTGAAAAAAAAATTGGAAATGCAAGGCAGGTTCCCAAAAGCAGACACGTAACCAGGGTTTTGTTTGCCCATTGCAGTGGCGCACGGCAGTGTCATTTTGATTCGGGGTAGATGAGAAAAGGGCACTCAACATCTGTGCTGAAAGGTAGACAGGGTTTTTCACCGGACACACAGCCTCTGTAAAATCATTTACTTTGCACCCTCCCCCAAGTTATGCTACTGCTTTACACTACCAATTTCGAAAGAAGTATTTCCTAACATTGTATTGCTAACATATTCTTTGAATTCTATCATTTAAAAATGCCAAACTTTTTTGCCATATAGTATGTCCAGTTTGGTGTGATGTCCAGAGACCCGCCTCAGCGCGTCCCGACACCCTCCAGTACTGCCGTCACCACGGCATCAACATCCACCACGGTGGTCACCACGACGCTGTCCACCTCTAGCGCAGTCAGCACGGTCGCTACAACCACCACCACAGCGGTCACCAAGCCTGCCACCAAGACGGGAACCACGGCTGTGAGTAGGGCGGGACAGGGATTGACAAAAGTCAATTTTCTTGTTGTTATCAAAGTTGTGTTCCCCATGCTCTTCAACAAATTCGATTTATTTTTCTACTAAGAACCAACCAAAACACCTTTTTTTTTTCATTTTTGGACATCTGCAACCCTCTGAAAAAAGGTTTTGTTTTGCAAACACAAACATGTCTGTTTTGTGAGCAGACTGGCTCATACATTACATTATTGATACAGATTGTGGGGTGTTAACCAACCTACTCGGCGAGAACAGAATTATTGTCTGGCAGCCAATAATTCAAAATTGAAAAGTAATAATTCAGTAACTAAAAAGGGCTGAGTCTGCAGCATTGAACTTGTGCTCTGCGGGTAATTCTGCTCTTTGTGGGTTGGAGTTTAGCCTGGGGTTATGGTGCGTGTGCCCTTGGGCAAGGCACTTTGTCACTCATTGCTTCTCCCCAACCAGGAGTAAATGGGTACATGTGAGGGCAGAGATGGTTATTTTTATTTGCCTTAGCTGCTTTGCACTGAAATGCTCGGACAAAAGTAACAAAGCTTAATCATTAGTGAGCTGTCACATGTACTTGCACAGCTCTCACAGTACAATAGTCATTGGGACAATCATAGTCAAAGGTTGGTCATTGATGTTGTTGGACCATAATTTCACCATGTGACATCTTTCACTGCTGACTCTTTATTCTGAAAAGTTCCATTTCTTTTGCCTGTTGCAGCCATCCATCGCCAACACGACCAACATTGACACCCTCTTAGTGGCCACGCCCAAAGATGAAGTCATCAATGAACCACCAGAGAGCGTCCAAGACAAAGTGGCTTTCATCTTCAACAATCTTTCCCAGTCAAACCAACCACAAAAGGTAGGGGTGCTTTCTTTACCATTATTTGTTTCTGGTAATGAAACCAAGGATTCCTCAAGAATGCAATGCACCGTAGTTTTTAAACCTGAAGAAACCTGTCAAGACACTGAAGAAAAGTTGAGTTATAGAGGTGAGAAGAAAACACCAGATAATTATGCCAGGGGGTGGGAGTTGTTGGTTCAAGTTCTTCTGATTTTTTTCTTACAAGCCCTTGGACAACACTGAGTATACAATGTTCATGAAATTACATCTGTTAATTAAGGGCAAAATTTACAATGTACGTCTCCCCAACTCATAATTTCCATCACACATATAGTAATTTAATAAGAGTGTCCGTTATTTCCGTGGTTCTTACAAATTTTGGGCTCTGAAGTAGGATCGGTCATTCGGCTAAAAAGAACAGCTGAAAGAAAAAAATGGAGTTGTACGCAATAGATGCTAACTTAAATGCATATCGCCTCTTGTTTTCCTTATTGCAATGAGATTATCATGAGTTGATGTCACTGAACAAAATGATAAAGCAATCTTTGGCAAGATGTAGTTGACTTGCATTTAAAACTGCACCATTTTTAACGTTTTGGCTTAGTAGCAGCCATGACACAACAGTAAAGGTAAACTATAGCCCCATGATATGATGAAAGGCAACACCCTCGCATCTTCTGGATTGCATTGGTTGCTATATGCTGTGCGTCGCGTAAAAACAGATGTTATTTTCCATAGCTTTTCAAATAACATGGAGCATTCTTGCCTAACTGTGGTATTCGTTATTTTTTTCATTTATGGTTGGTTTGTTTTTATTAGCGGGGGGATTCCAGATAGAGTCATTAGTAATAAAAAAGGTGTTTTTTTCTTCCAAATGCCTAACCCTCCTATGGAAACATACATTCACAAGAAAAGGATATCTGCAGGATAGGTTTGCAACTCAGTGACTACCAGGACAACAAACAATTGTCCGTCACCTTGATATATACATTAACCCTCCTATGCAAATATACATTCTGTGCAAAGTTGTCCCTTTAGTCAAAACCAATCAAGTGACTGTATTCAACAGTTAAGGGCTCCTATCCTGCATAAAGCAGGATTGACTGACTGCGACTGTTTATGTAACTTGATACAACTTTGCTTTGACTGTATGTGGTTGATAGCCAGCTGTGCCTACCACTTACCTGCTTTTGTCTGTTGACTGAATTTGCCTAGTCACAGTGTTTGCTAGAAATATAATCTGACTTGGTGACTAGCCTGTGTAAAAGGCATGGCAGGGAGAGGATTGATTTGTTTTGTTTGTTATTGTCTGTGACTGTTCAGACAGCAGGAGGGAAGACTAATGATGTAGTACCGAAAGTACCAAGACTGGTGGATTTTTTGCGTTTTATAAATTGTTGTTATCTTTACTACTATGTTAATAGTGTGAGGAGTTGAAAGATTTGATAACAGAGGAGTACCTGAACTGGCTGTCCCAGTACATGGTCATGAAACGAGCCAGCATCGAGATGAACTTTCACCCTCTCTACTCCAACTTCGTGGACCAGCTCAAGAAAGCTCCTCTGAACGACCTCTTAGTCAAGGAAACGCTGAGGAATATTGAGGTGAGTCTGGTGCCCCATGTTGTGGGTTAGGATTTGTGTGACAACAAAATTACTGGAGTCGGGTACCTGCTTCATGGTGGCCATTTCTGAAAGCTTGGTATTGTCCGAAACTCTGGCTTCCTGCTTCAAATTCATGGATCTTTTTTCAAATCTGAAATTTTTCTCCCCCCCCCCCAGGTCTTGCTAGGCTCGGACAAAAGTGACGCCAACTTCTCTGATCGTACTCTCTTGAAGAACTTGGGCCACTGGCTGGGAATGCTGACTCTCGCCAAGAACAAGCCCATACTACAAATCGTAAGAAGCCTTGCACTTGTACTTGTACTTGTACTTTTCAGAAACTTTGTTCCTGTATATGGCAGAATCGCACATCTCACAAAATGAGTGTTAATTAAAGACTTTTTTTTCACGTATTAGTTTTAGATATGCAGAAGAAGGATCATGTTATGTGGTTCAGGTCGTTATTTTTGACATCTGAACCCTAACCCTCAATCCTCATGGCGGTTTTGGATGATTTTGGAGGATTGAGGATAAATGGTGTTTGAGAAACATCAGGATTTTGGAGGATTGAGGATGAATGGTGTTTTAGCTCATGAGGATTTTGGAGGATTGAGGATGAATGGTTTTTGAAGAAGAGGATGATTTTGGAGGATTGAGGATGAATGCATTTTGAGAGGCAGGACTGTCTGACGATTTTGAAGGATTGAGGTGCTGTGTATCCTTCATTTGAACATAAGTGCAAAATTTTGGAGGATTGAGGATGGTTCCTAGCAAAATGGACCTAGGGGGTTAGGGTCCTTTACTTTCAGTGTCCTAGTTCAGTCCACCACTAGGACTAACAAGTCCTTGGCCATCCTCACAAGTTCATCACAAGTCCATCACAAGTCCATCACAAGCTACTTAAAGAATCCATCAAGTGAATTTTGCAGGAAGTATAATTGTAGCAAATATCCATTTCTCTGCCATGAATAAAACTATGAGACATCGCTTTTTGGTAAAAAGTTTTGCAAAGTGCACAACAATTAACATGTTTCATGCTTTTCCTGACAACTAATGGCGCTGTTGCTATGATGTCACTTGTAGGAACGCATTCTTCAGATTATTGTTTTTCTCTTCAAATTGTTAACCTAAAATTCTGCTTTTTGAAAACATAGTGAACTGATAAAATGTTTGAAGAAATCATTAAATTTGGAATTTGTTTTTGAATGAGTTGTGAACATGATGAAAATATCCCTAATGATTAAACTAACAGTTGTTAGTGGTCGTGATCATCTTCAAGGTTTAGTTTCTGATTCACAACGGACATCGCTTTTGGTAGAAAAAAATTGCGAAGTGCACAACAATTAACATGTTTCATGCTGTTCCTGATAACTGATGGCGCTGTTGCTGTGATGTCACTTTTGGGAACACATCTTCCGATTATTGTTTTTCTCTTCAAATTTTAAACCTAAACTCTGCTTTTTGAAAACATTTGTCCATAAAGTATTTCTCATTGTCTTACTATCATCTACTGAAACAACAATGAACCACGGAAAGCAGAAAAATCACCACACCAAACCCCTCAAAATTCTAGTGACTTTTATAGCTGAAGCAGATGTGAAACTGACGTTTTAGATTTGAATGACATCACAGTTTTGTCCATGAATACGGACATCTTTATTAGCACTAAAACCAAAAAGGCATTAAAACACCCTTAAAACGGCAAAATGAAGATCACAAATAAAGTGAAAATGGTTTACAAAGGTACATGGCAAGGATTGCATTCAAAAAATTCCATTGAATGGGCCCTTTATAAAAATGAACTGTGGCATAGTTGTTCATTCCCTGTTACTTGTAACCAGATTTGTGACTGGACTTGTTATTTATTTCTGGTAATGAAACCAAGGATTCCTCAAAAGCGCTCTAGACACTGTAGCTCACAAGCATGAAGAAACCCGTAGAGAGAAGACAATGAGAAGAAATTACAGTTTTAGAAGTGGGAGGAAAATCTCAGAAGAGTATTCTGGGGAAACTCACGGAATCAGGCAGGGACTGAAAACCCAATCCACATGTTGGCCAAGGCGGGATTTGAACCCGTGTCACAGCAGTAGAAGGCGAGGGAAGTACCGCTACGCCAACCTGACTTGACTTGAATGACTCGACTACAACACTGACTGTCTTTCTTGGTTTCCCCTAACCAGGAGCTCGACATGAAATCCCTGATCCTAGAGGCCTACCTCGTGGGCCAGCAGGAGCTTCTGTACGTGGTCCCCTTCGTGGCCAAAGTCATGGAGTCCTGCAACAAGAGCCGTGTCTTCAAGCCCCCTAACCCCTGGACCATGGCCATCATGGGGGTGCTGGTGGAGCTACACCAGGAACCTAACCTCAAGCTCAATCTCAAGTTTGAGGTGGAGGTGCTGTGCAGGAACATGGGCTTGGACCTTGTGGTGAGTTGATTCTTCTTTTGGACTAATCATAATGGGATCGCTGCACTTGATTGGTTGTTCTGAACGTGTATCACCACATGGTGATATATGGCACACATAATAGGAGGGCGCTATTTTGAGTTGGTAAGTTTGGATGAATGCAAAAGATAATGCCTATTTATATATTCCAATTCTATCTCGAAAAAGGCTAATGAAGCTTATTCCACCGTCCCTCATAAAAAGGTTAGTGACACTGCTGAGCCAGACTAATGCTGAGCATGGAAAAGGCTTGATTGGCAAAACATATGTAACAAGCCAAATTTGATGTAATGAAAACAATTTTGGCGTAGCAAGTGGTATATTTTAACAATCTTTTTGGCCTAGCTGCTCAGTGAACTTGTGCACAACACCCCCTCCCCCCCCCCCTTCACTTCAAAAACTACTCAACTTTTGACCACACTTAAAGTAAAAATCTATTTTAGGCTACATGCATTTAGAATTTGGTTTTTTAGACTGAAGCTGAAAATCTTGCCAGTTACTGTTGAAGCACATAATGACAACAAAAAATATGTTAAACAAGTGTGTAACAACGTAGGCCTTGTGTGCATGAGCAAAAAATTAGTCTCCCAAACAGAATAAGGTAAAATTGAATTATTATTCATTATTATATGAAAGTGATATATTTATTCAACTGATTGGTTTGTATATATAGAAAGTATGCCTTTTGGGAGGTAAAACTGACTTAATTTTACTCGCGGGAAAAATCTGATATTTCAGTTAATGACATTCAGTTCACATTCTGTGGTGACTGACCTCTGGTTTTGTAATGAATTCCCCATTACCAGGACGTGAAGCCCAGCAACTATCTCAAGGACTACGCCAACCAGCGTCACCTCAAGAAGAAACTCACAGGCCCCAAGAAGACGGCGTCCGAGGAGCCCCAACCGGCCCCGACGCCCCAGCAATCCAGCATGCCGACCAACACCGCCACCCCGGTGCCCAGCAGCACCGGTTCCATGGCCTCGTTGGTGACAGACACCATGCCCACGCCTTCAATGTCCACTGTGACCACGCCCACGGTGGCGCCTACGTCAGGCGCGCCAGCCACGCCTCAGTCGTCGGCCCCTGTGCCCCAGTTCAGCTTCCACGATCTGAACACAACGTCGCTGACTGGTTTGGCCCCTCACATTGCTGTCAATGCACAGGTGGGGACAGGAAATAATTGCTTGTACTTCAGGACTATCACGTATTTTTTTCAGATGGGTGTTCCAGAGTCACACAGATCAAGATTATTCTGACAATTTGAATTTAGTGCATGAAAAATTCCAATGTTTGAAATAGCTAGGAGCGATAATGCGAAAAGATCAACATCAGTAAGGTATCTTCGGAGTGATTCAGGTCAATGAAAAATTAAATACAGTAAACTCCTGTTAAGTCAGATTTGGATAACTCGAAACCCCGATGTATGATGTATGATTCTCCTTTTGTCGTGTAACTTACTTCAACCTGACTTAAATCAAAATTGCCATTCAGAATTAATCAGGAGCCCTGAATAATTTCCACATTTCCTTGAACCACATTTGAAAAGCTTGAACGTCTAGGGATAAACTTGAAAACAAAAGTTCACAATGTAATTTGAAATCAATTTCACTAAGCTCACCATATGCACGATGCGTTGTAAGTGTATTTTTAGTACCATTCGACAAACTGTTTCAAATATGGCATTTCCAAACTTTTTCAAACAGTCATCGAATGTTTAGTAAAGAGTCGCCGTAGTTTCTCTCAAAAAGTTTCAAAATCAAAACACAAAATGGCGAACGGTTATCATGACTTGTCTGGAAAAACAACCTTACGTCAGACTTGAATTAATTTGGTAATTTGAAGTTCATTTTTAAATTAAATTACCTTTTTTTCTCACAAGACTTTAGTTTATTAATTCATAAACCTACTTTAAGGAGATCTGTTTCTTTGACTAGAATGCCTTAAAAGCGGCTCCAAAAAAAATCACTTCTTATATTTGCAATGGCATTAATACTCATCGTATTTACGATAAGTTACCGGTACCAGGAAAGTTGCAATGTGTTCAATCAGTCGTAAGTTTCTTGAAATCATGGAAAGCATCTGTTGTAAGTTGCAATGTGTTATCCATCAGAAGTTAATTCTAGCGTTTTTGTGAAATGGGCTCCAGTGCACCTCAAAGATGGCTGCTGTGCAAAGGCTCTATTGTTGTGCATGTCATCCTGATTGTTGTTGTTTTTTCTCTGATCCCGCAGCTGCCACTATTTCAGCAGCATCCTCACCTGCGTAGCTGCGTGCGGCCCATGCTGGAGAGAGCAGTCCAGGAACTAGTCCACCCTGTGGTTGACCGATCCATCAAGATTGCGCTGACTACTTGTGAGCAGATAGTCAGAAAGGTAAATGTGATTCAGTTCAGGACAGTAGATGTGGCAGTAACTCTTATCAGAATGTAAAACTACCCCTTGTCATGGAAATGAATGCTTACAGCTTTTGAGGTGGCCAACAACTTTTTTGAAGTAAATGTTAACATTAAGAGGGTAGATTAAAGGGAAAAATAATTTTGACTTCATTTTTGGTTAGTTGTTCTTGTGAAGTCACGCTCTACTGTTGTATAGTACATGAAAAAAAAATTAGATTTGCTTTATAAAAATAGAATATTAATTTTGCAATAAGTAAGGTTTTTCTCTTTTAATATTTTTCTAGCTGAATGAAAGATTGGCTCCTATTAAAATAAAATATAACTGGTCTAGTGGACTCATTGGATCTTACTACACTGGCAAGGTTCTCAATTTCACAACTATTCCATGTTGTGTTGGGCTGGGTTTGGCAAGGTTTTTTTGTAGTTTTCGTGCAGCGTTATAGAAAACTTTTATCTTTCAATCTTTTTTATTTTCTTGGCAGGATTTTGCCCTGGACCCAGAAGAGAATCGCATGCGCATCGCAGCCCACCACATGGTGCGTAACCTGACGGCCGGCATGGCCATGATCACGTGCCGCGAGCCGCTCCTGACCAGCATCAGTAACAACTTCAAGACGGCTTGTGTTGCCGCCCTCAAGGTAACTCACCCCTGCATTGACCGAATTAGATTGCGACTTTTTGGTCGGGTGGCCACAGCATCTCGGTCAGACTCCGAGTCACGAGCACTGTTAGAAATGTTAACCCTATAACTTCCTTGGGGTGGGGATGGTGCACTTTTTTGGCAATATTTTCGCCAAATGCGCATTACTCGCCGTAAGCTTTCATGAGTTTGATCATTTTGATTCCAAATTTATGAAAATTGACCGTGGAGTCACCGTGCCACGCGACATTATTTGAGGCTGGCCACCATGGAAGCGCATTACCCCATATACAACAGTATGCTATTTTTTGCAATTCAGTAATTAAAAAACACTTTGTCTTACGAAAAATCAAATTCTGTGAAAAAGTTCAGATTGAATTGCCTTCATGTGTGCTAAATTTCATTCCATTTCGTCGCTTCACGACCGGCCTCTTTAGGGTTAACAATGCAAAGATGGTTTGGGTTTACTGCCAATTTCGCGACGGTCCATTCTGAGAAAATTATGAAGTGAGAGTGGAATTCTTGGTCCATTCTGAGAAACTTAAGAATGGAAAGTGGAATTTGTGAAAGTGATGACATTATATTCCTACTGATTATTAATAACTGGTCCTCATTGGACCGGTAAACATGATCATCTTGAGGGTTAGAGTTCTGATTCACAATTCCCTCCTGAAACACTAGATGTATCCACAGTGTACAATTGTTTATTGAAGTGGGTTCGAGTCCCACACGAGTGTTTTATGAATTTGTTCACAAGCACTTGGACAAGACTGAGTACACAGTGTTGACTAAAAAACAAATACGTTGTTGACAAGCAAAACCCAATTTTGAATTAACTTCGCACAATGCAAGTTTCATCTTATGAAAAACAAGCATATTTCACCGAAAGCCAAGCCATTTTCCCTCAGTTGATGAGTCTTTTTTTATTTTTGGTCTTTGAACCAAACAGGGAGGCACACCCCAGACCAAAGAGCTGATAGACCAGGCGGCTACCGTCGTGGCCCAGGAGAACGTGGAGCTGGCCTGCTGCTTCATCCAGAAATGTGCCGTGGAGAAAGCCATCCCCGAAATGGACCGACGTCTAGCGACTGTAAGTCTAGAACCCATAACTTTTGCTGTATTAGGATATTCATTCTACTGCAAAACCGTAAATTGACAATTTTTATTTTCATTTCCGTTTTTACATTCGTGTGAATATAAAGATGCCTTTGCACTTGGGCTCTGTGCACAGGTAAAACCCTCCCCCCAACCCCCAACGGTAAGAAAGGTAGAGTTGGGGAAGACAACAGGGACAGACATTCGAACGCATTTCCATTGTTATGAAGACACTATGGCTTCACAAAGTTTGATGCTTTCAATTGTTTAGGAAATTGAGCTGCGCACTCAATTTGTTTTGATCCCAAAGTTTGATGCTTTCAATTGTTTAGGAAATTGAGCTGCGCAAGCACGCCCGTAACGAGAATCGCCGCTACTGTGATCCTGTAGTGTTGACATACCAGGCTGAGCGAATGCCTGAACAGATTCGACTCAAGGTAAGATATCATGCCATTTACTTTAGGTTCATTTTCTGAATTTTCTGAACTTTGGGAGTGAAAGGCAGTGGAAAAAATGACACATTTAAAACTATTTGAGATTGTCTGGTACACATATTAAAAAAAATATGTTTTGTTCCTATTAGTGAACTGATAAAATGTTTGAAGAAATCATTAAATTTGAAATTGTTTTTTTTTAATGAGTTGTGAATGTGATGAAAATATGCCTAATGATTAAACTAACATTTGTTAGTGGCCGTGATCATCTCTAAGGTTTAGTTTCTGATTCACAGCTCGCCCATCTCAATTTGTTGCACGTTGATGAGGACAAATGAAGAAGAGAAACAGATAATTTGTACTAAGGTTTACAATTTCAGGGAAGGGAAGTCAGCTAACTCAAGCCTATATCACCATCTCACATGGTTGCAGGCAGTTTGGGGACATTCGTGTCTTCTACTTTGATATGTATCTAAGAAACTTAGTATCTGCCAATGTTGGCCTTCTACCAGTACCTTCTCTGTCCAGCATTCTACCAAGCCATCATCTGACCCTTTGTGACCTCAACAGCCCCTGCAAGGCTCTTCTAAGAACTTTGCCTCCTCCTTCCAGACTCCTGTAAAGATACAACCCTTTTAACCCTAACTCCCTAGGCATTTTTGCAAGGATGCAGCCATAATCCTGCAAAATCCTCCAACTGCCTCCATGTAAAAATTGCATACAGTCTCAATCCTGCAAAATCCTCTGTTATTTCTCGAGTGCAGTCCTTGGAGGGGTGACCACTGCCTCAATCCTGCAAAATCCTCCAGCAATCACTGTCGATATGTTGAGGCAGAGCCAGTGACATCCTGGAGCAGTGTGAAGGATTTCAAGTATAATATAGGCCTAAATTTAAGACCTTAACACAACGCATCCTCCGAAATCGACCAAACACTTTTGCCATAATAATAGCTTTAATCCTGCAAAATCCTCCATTTTGCAAAGAGGAGTTTGGAGGATTTGGGAAGGTTAGGGTTAAAGAATCCTTCTCGAAATGACACTTGTAAAATGTGTTTTATTGTTTGTTTTCCCCACCCCTCAGGTTGGTGGTGTGCCAGCCGGCCAGATCGCCGTCTACGAGGAATTTGCTCGCAGCATTCCTGGCTTCCAGCCAACGCCAGAAGCCAATCAGCCGCCAGGATTCCTGGTCAAACCAGTACAGGTAATGAAAACCGACCAATCACCTGTGTCGAATTCTGCACCTCGTGGTTGCATCATCAGAAACAATTTTCTGACCCTCCATACAATTTTCTTTCTGACACTCCATATGTGATACATTTTGCTCACATTTTCATGCCGACTTAAAGAAAACAATTTGAAGGAGGATATAAATCTGTGGCCCCTAGAGTATTGCGTCGTTAACTCTCCTGCTATCTGAACAGTCGCAGACAGTCAAAAAATCAATCCGCTTCCCCTGCCATGCATTTTACACTGGCTACTCACCAACAGTCAGATCATATCTCAAGCAAGCACTTTGACTAGTCAAACTCAGTCGACAGTCAACAAAAGCAGGCAAGTGGTAGGTACTGCTGGCTTATCAATCACCTACAGTCAAAGCATACGGTATCAAGTTACAAAAACAGTCACAGCCTGTCAATCCTGCATTATGTAGGCTGGGAGCTCTGAACTGTTGAAAACAGTCACCTGATTGATTTTAACTGAAATGACAACTTTTTGGTGCACTTGTCAGAGACGATAACATCATACATGCCCTGAACATCAGCAATCCGAGCAAACCACAGACATGCAATCAGGGATCACTATATACAGGATGTTGCACTTTTAATTCTAAACCATCTAACCACAAAGTATAAAAGTACTTGCTTTAACACCCAAACCTAAACCTACCTAAAGTAAAGACTCTTTGAAGAGAATATTAAAAAAAAAAAAAAATCGGACCTTATTTGATGTTTTACACAATATTTTAAAAATTGATTGTTAAATTTCAATATTACTTTTTGCCCTGCAATGACATAATTTCATAAGCACTTTATACTTAGTGCTGTCCAAGGGCTTGCCAAAACAAATAGTTAAAGTGTAGCCGGTTTAGACCCACGACTTCCTGCTTACTAGCGTGCATCTTCAAAGTGATATTCAATTCTGATATGATCAGTTTGATTCTGATACAACAGCGAGTACCTCAACCAAACACTTAAATATCAAATCATTCATACATGTAAATAGAAAAAAATATAAGTTTTTATAACCTGCCCGTCTTTGAATCTATACAGCAATCCTATGCCACAGACGAGATCACCCAGATCTACGACAAGTGCGTATCCGAGATAGAACAGCACCTGCACGCCTTGATCCAATCCTCGGCCCAGAACCAACACATGCAGGTCCTGCATGCCTTGCTGGAAGCCGTAGTCCTAGCCAGGAACTCACGGGAGATTGTCACGGCTCTGGCTGTACTACAGAAGGTTAGTCTACCTCAGAATTACGTGGAGCTTCGGCTGGCCATTATGCTTGGGCTTATGGCAGTTGCTGAATACACTTCTCCATAGACGTGTGTTATTGCCCGTCGTGGCCTAGTGATGAGGACACAGCCTTAGTCCAAGTGATGATTATTTATTGCTAGGATGGTCAAAAATTTTAACACAGGGTGTGAAGCATTGTGGAGCGCTGTGGTCCAATGGTTACAGTGTTCGACTCATGCCATGACAAGTGGGTTCGAACCCAGAGAGTATCTGTGAGGGTAGAGACCAAATTGTTCTGATCTCAAGCTGCTGCAGAAAAAAAAATAATAAAAGTAAATTTGAAATTTACAGTAATATTTGCGCTTCATTGTTTTGACAGTGTTTTCTAAAATATCTAGTGTTTTTTACATTTAAGACTAATGTTTGATTCAAATTCGTACTTTTAATATTTTAGCTACTGTTCAAATTTTGTAATGCGCATTTGAACATTTAATGGTATATGCGCATAATAAATGCAAATTTATTATTTTATTATTTATTATTCACCATGTGTAATCAGCTCTCTTGAAAAATGTATACGCAACACCCCAAATGTTTTCACGCTCGGGGTCTGAATGTTTATCTTATCTCAAAAACTTAAGATTTGTTTTGGGGTTCATTGCGTGGTTTTGCCAAATTTTGGAATAAAGTGCTATGGTTTGGTACCCTGTCTCCTCTTATCAGGCTGTTGAGGGCCTCCTGGAAGGGTATACCCCACAGACCATGGACCCGGAGCTGGCCTTGCGATACCGTGACTGTCACATCCTGGTACTGAAGTCGCTACAAGACCAACGGGCCTATGGCCCTCAGTGGACCAATAAGCAGGTCACACGGTGAGTGTTTGTTGTGACTACCGCAAGAAACTAATAAAATTTGTTTCCATTTGGGCTTTTCAATTTCTGAATTCTATTACACGCTAATAATGTCAGAGAATCAAAATTTCCATGGGTACACTTATTCTCAAGTTTTTTTTTGCTGTCAAAACTTCTTTTTCTGCAGTACCTTAATAATAATTGTTTAGATCCTTGTGGGAGAACATTTGCAAAAGTACAAGTATGAGTACTTTGTTGTGAGTACATGTGAGTACAAGTACATTCTCATGAATACGAATACCAGAAATGTATGCCAGTACGAGTACAAGTACCTACAACACTGAGGGCCATAAGCATTTCATGGGTTTCTGGCTGGTACCCTGTTTTTGTTAAGCAACTATTTTCTGTACGTTATAGCAAACTTAAGCACTAAGCAGCTGTATGAGATTGGACTATGGTTCTGCAGGATACCGGTGGTTTCGGGACTGCTGAACCATCCTGCATACCCCATAATCCAATACCACAATAACCCATCTTACACATCCCATAAGCCATCTTACATTCCCCATACCCCACCCTGCATACTCAATAACCCATCTTACATTCCCCATAACCCATCTTACATACCCCATAACCCATCCTGCATACCCCATAACCCATCCTGCATACCCCATAACCCATCCTGCATACCCCATAACCCGTCCTGCATACCCAATAACCTGTCTTACATTCCCCATTACCATCTTACATACCCCATAACCCGTCTTAGATAGGGTTCCTGCAAAGTGTTGGACTTTGAAAGATGCAGGAAGCTTCCCTGCAAGTTTCACTCCGGCACCAAAAATAGTGGAAAGGAAGAACAAAAGCGATTTTCCAAAATGTCTTTTGGTACCTATTCGTGTTTGACCTTTAACCTTTGACCTGTATTGGCAGAGTGGTGTGTGAGACGCGCAGTGAACAGAAGTACAACCTGGACGCCGTGGAGCAGCTCTTCAGAGCCCACCTCATGAATATGCAGACCTTTGACATGCAGTTAGCTCAGGTGGGTCACATGACAATCACATGTAACGTGGGCCAATTCTTAATGATAATTTAGATGCAGATATCGTGTACAGTCAAATACAAGAAAGTTTGAGGCCACATCTTAAACCCAGTGAATATACTTATTGTAAGTGGTATTTTTTTCACATTGCCCATTCCTACTTCCATTATGTTTAAAAATGGCTCTGGAAAAGTCAAATTCATTTGTGGAGTGGTGTATCACCCATAAGGAAGCAGTTTTTTAAAACAGCTGCTTTTACTTTTCGTTAAAACGTTTGTCATGCCTTGGAGCAAAAACCCTCATCAACTGCTCTTAGATTCATATTATTGTTCTTGATGTATTTTTTTTCGGGATTGTTCCATTGCAGTCGATGGAGAACGGCCTGAATTACACAGCGGTGGCCTTTGCCATGAACGTTGTCCGCCGTTACTTGATCGAGGAGAAACAAAGTAACATCCTGAATGAGGCCGACCTGTACAATACACTGCATATCCTGATGCGTATAGCAAATCAAACACCTAACCCACCCGAAGGGTAAGTGAGGGGCAGATTTTGACAAGCTACCCCTCCCCCCACCACTCCTGCCAGTCCATCTAAAATGTATTACTACACCCCACAGTCTACCTCTTCATTGCCCCCCTCCCCACCCCCACTGCTCCCCTTCCTGATGTACCTGCACCCCAGTCCCAACCATCACACCCCAAAACTAATCCAGTTCATTCAAGATCCTTCAAGATCCTTCAAAATCCACCTTGTTTTCAAGGATTTTACAGGGTTGAGGAATGAAGAGTCCAGCCGCTAATTACTGTACATGAGACTTAATGTATCTTTAAAAAAAAAGTACAGGGGGCATTCCATTTGGTTTCCTTGCTTAGTAGTGGATTTTGGAGGATTCGGGAACGTTCCTAGTATCAATGCAATGTTAGTTAAGGTTAACCCCTCCCCAAGGCATTATTGCCAGCAACGTTCCTGAATCTGCCAAAATCATCTGCAGTGCAGGAGACCAGTGGCTCCTTCTTTGCACTGAAACTTCTCAAGGGAAACACTTTAAACTTAAAGTATAAGTGACGAGGCTCTACCTTGCCACGTCCTGCAAAATCCTCCGAGCCTCCTAGTGGATTTTGAAGCATCAGGAAGGGTAAGAGTAAATGTTAAAAATTGGGTCTCTGGATGTGATGAAACTTTTCAACGATTCAAGTCTTTGTGACTTGAGACCATGATGGTTTGAAAAAGGTTTAGTTTCTGATCCATCGGCACTAAAAGTTATCAAGGAAGGTAGAGCAATGTTCCCTTTGAAGTCCCTCAAAATCTTCTGAGCCTCCTAGTGGATTTTTAAGCATCAGGAAGTCCAAGGGTTAATTTTAGAAATTGGTATTTTGGGCTTGTTATTATGCCACTTTATGAATGAGTCTGCTTCCTTTTTTTTTTGGACACAGCCTACAGCACCTGATTGAGGTGGTGCGCCAGAATCACGACCCAGCCTTCTTAGACAAGGCTCCAGGGGGACCCACCTCTATGATGCACTCGGGTATCTCCCAGGCCAGGGAGTTTGACGACCCGCCAGGCCTGAGGGAGAAGACAGAGTACCTGCTGAGGGAATGGGTCAGCATGTATCACTCCCCGGCTAGCGGCAAAGACAGCACCAAGGCCTTCTCGGCTTTTGTCAACCAGGTAAAGAGGACCTAGTATCATACATACACACACAGATAAGATTAGTTTGCCTAGTCGAGCTCAACCCCAACGTCTCTGTTAAGGACAATATCCCTACTCAATGGCTCAGTCAGTCAGTCAGTTAGTCAGTTAGAGGACAGTAGAGTGGGCTGTCGAGCAAACACAAGACTAGACATGCTGGATCCTCTGTAAGCCATCCTCGGGTCAACCTGTGACTCACTTGCACAGTTCGCTCTTGCAACTGTTGATTTCTATTTTTTAGGACAGACTGATGCCAATCATCATAATATCGTCGCAGTTACGATCGCGTCGAAAAAAAATCGGCAACTGATATGTTCCCGACAGTTGTAGATCAGGCGCAGCTTGATCCTGAAAAGTCAGTCGCCGACTGTTCTGGGTCGTTGGAAGGTCAACTTGAGGGAGGATTTAGATGCAGTCAATCAGTCAGTCAGTGATTCAGTCACTGGACAATAGGCTTACCCTTTTGGTCCATCAAAAGCCCTTTCACAACCTCAAATTGTCTAGATATTTTGACCCAGTATGACAACAACAAAAAACTCTTTGACAGTCTCCAATAAAAACTGAAACATTTGGTAATATGAGGTTTTATTGGGGCCCTCAGGATGCAACTGCTACTTACTGATTGTTGAGTTGTACATTCTTTGCTAAGGTGAAAGCCGCCTTTTAATGACTTAATTGTCAGTTTGTTTTGTGTCCGTTGTGGACTTAGGCTCATAGAGAAACTTTAGATCCAACAGTCCAACATAATTCTGATAGTGTAATAAGAGCCAAAATCCTCAAATGTCTTTTGTTAATGATCATTCCGTTTTTTGGATGATCTTCTATTTTGCTGCTCCCATTTTACAAACGAGGCCTTGATTTTGTAAACCTGGGCCCAATTTCATAGCGCTGCTTAACAGCCGACTTTGTGCTTACTGAGCCTCCATTTATTTCATAGGGACCGTTAAGCAGTAAGCACAGCAAAAGCACGCTTAACCCCAGAAGAAAACTTTGCTTAAATCAGTGACGTAACAATATAAATCTCCATGTCACGCAACTGTTCGCATGAAATAGTGCTTATGCAGCAGCATGATTTTCTGTTATAGTAAGCACAACTTTCCTGCTTACTGTTAAGCAGCGCTATGAAATTGGGCCCTGCTGAGCATACTCTATTGCCTATAAAGCAAAATTGGGTCTCTGGATGTGATGAAACTTTTCAATGATTCAAGTCTTCTTGACTTGAAACCATGATGGTTTGAATTAGGTTTAGTTTCTGATCCAGTGGCACCAAACGTTGTCAAAGAAGGTAGACCATAGTCCATTTATCAATTTGCAAATTTCTGCGCTTAGCAGCTCCACTTGCATTGTACTCTGGAGCTTTGTACAAATCCAGGGCCAAATCCCATGGCTCTGCTTGCTGTTGGTGAAATATCCCTGTGCTTACAATTCTGTGCTTACAGTAAGCATATTTCACAGGTTAGCGAAGGAATTTGCTTCTGCGCCTGCGTACATCTAGTAACTTAGGATTCTGTGATAACAGGGTTAGCACAGAATTTGTCTTGCTCCCCACCCATTCCAAACACCCATTCTGATTGGTTGACATCCATCCCTGATCCCTTCTCTCCACCAATCAGATGCACCAGCAGGGAATCCTCAAGACGGACGACCTGATCACCCGTTTCTTCCGCATCTGCACGGAGCTGTGCGTGGACCTGTGCTACCGGGCCTTGGCGGAGCAGGCCCACACCCCGACGCTGACCAGGGCCAAGTGCTTCCACACCCTGGATGCCTTCGTGCGTCTGATTGCGCTCCTTGTCAAGCACTCCGGGGACGCCAGCAACGCCGTGACCAAGATCAATCTACTGAACAAGGTAACAAGATTATTACAGAAGCTTGGGGGAAATGAGCCACCTCAGCTCTAGCCTACAAGGGTAATTTTGTCTAGAACTCCTGCCCAGCGTAACAACATGTAACAGTTGTCAAAGTGAGAAGCCTGCCCGGAGGGACAGGATCCAGCAGGTTAAAAATCTCAAGGCTCTGAGATTTTGATTGACTTGTGATGAGTTGTGAATGACTTACGATCAGTTAAGATTGACTTGTGATGAGTTGCGGTTGACTTGTGATTGACTTGTGATGAGTTGTGCTTGACTTGAGATGAGTTGCTATTGACTTGTGATGAGTTGCGATTGACGTGTGATGAGTTGAGATTGACTTGTGATGAGTTGCTAATGACTTGAGATGAGCTGCAATGAGTTGCGATTTACTTGTGATGAGTTGCGATTGACTTGTGATGCGTTGCGATTGACTTGTGATGAGTTGCGATTGACTTGTGATGAGTTGCGATTGATTTGTGATGAGTTGCGATTGATGTGACGAGTCATGATTGATTTGTGACGAGTCATGATTGACTTGTGACGAGTTGCGATTGACTTGTGATGAGTTGCGATTGACTTGTGATGAGTTGCGATTATCTTATGATGAGTTGCGATTGACTTGTGACGAGTCATGATTGATTTGTGATGAGGTCATGATTGACTTGTGATGGGTTGTGAGTGACTTGTGATGAGTTGTGATATATATAGTCTAGCATCCTGTCTCCACATTGTTATGTTATTAGGTCCTGGGCATTGTAGCCGGTGTTCTCCTTCAAGACCACGAGGTACGCAACACGGAATTCCAGCAGTTACCGTACCACCGCATCTTCAACATGCTTCTGCTGGAACTCAACGCCCCGGAACAGATCCTGGAGGCCATTAACTACCAGATTATGACAGCCTTCTGGTACTTATAAACTTTAATTCGCTCGCTCTTTCTCTCTCTCTCTCTCTCTCTTTATATATATATATCTGTATTTAACCCATCTTAAAGTTTACTTTGAAAACTGTCTGCTTACAAGACCCAAGTCTTAGATTTATTTTATTCTTATGAAAATCTCTTTGCAAAAGCCATTGTTTAGGGTTTTGTCAATTACAAGTACGTTAGAACATGCTGACATTAGAAATAGCCGTTGCCTCATTAGGAGGATTATTGTGTTTCTGGTTGATTTTGAAGACTTTTTGTTTTTGTTTTTTACAAAAATGGGTCTCTGGATGTGATGAAACTTTTCACTGATTCAAGTCTTCTTGACTTGAGACCATGATGGTTTGAAACAAGGTTTAGTTTCTGATCCAGTGGCCCCAAAAGCTATCAGGAAAGTAGAGCAATGTCCAGTGTTCCCACTATCCTGGAAAATCCTGGAATATAAAGCTATCATGGACAGTCATGGGAAAGTCACAGAAATTTTGTACAAGGAGTCATGGAAAGTTGATATTCCAAGAAAAAAGCCATGGAAAAATCATGGAATCCTGCACAATCCAAACATGATGATGCGTAATATTTGGCCATGGCAGTCTGCCAGTTTGCATTACAGTTTACTGTACTTCAGTTTACTGTACTTCCTCTGAATGCATGTGTGCTCTATACTTGTTGCATGTTCCTTGCACCATTGTGATGCTTTTGTGGTGCTCAGCGGTCTTGTGCCAAACTGGAAGGCTGAAAGGGAGTGGCGTCCCTTGCCTCCAGAGCAAAAGGCTCTGAAGATGCCAAAACAACATAGGAATTGCTCATGGAAAGCCCTAATTTTCCAGAACTGTCATGGAAATGTCAAGGAATTTCATTGAATATTTCCATGCGGACCCAGATTTAGGAGGGTTCTCATCAAATGTTGCCAAGGGAGTTGGGAGTTAATGTTGTCCGTTTTATCATCATTTGCAGCAATGCCTTACACGTCTTGCGGCCTTCCAAAGCGCCAGGTTTCGTCTACTCCTGGCTGGAGCTGATATCACATCGCATCTTCATAGCACGGATGCTGGCCATGCTGCCCCAACAGAAGGTAAACAAACTTAGTGGCGCGTACTTTATGCTACACTCACGTGAACTCGGACGTTGGTTTATGGTGTAAATCAAGGATTTTCTTTTGTTCCTCTTCCCGTTTCCTTTGTTTGTACTTTTTCGCAATAGCTCTCATTGGTTTTGTACACGATTTCCAACCGAGGAGTCCTCGATTCGGTTTCTGACCTCAATTCACCGGAGTTGTTGCACGTGTGTGTCCTCGATTTACACCATAAACAAACGCCAGTACACGCACGTGGTGTGTCCTTCCAAAAAAGCAACCTCTTTTGTTTGTGCAGGGAGCCGGCCGATACCTACTTTATCAAGAAAATATTGTCTGTGATAGGAAGAATTCTCCATATTTGAAGTGACAATGATGGTAAAGTTTCGTAATAAAGATATGTGTTATGTTCTTTATCTTTACAGCAAGGGTGGCCCATGTATGCACAGCTACTGATTGACTTGTTCAAATTCATGGCACCATTCCTACGCAATGCTGAGCTACCCAAGTACACTGCATTGCTCTACAAGGTAAAAAAAAAGAAGCAATATATCTGTTTCCAATCTGTATTCACTCTTTGGGTTTTCGTTGTAAAAAATATTCATGACGAATTTGACAATAGACAAATTTCAATAAGTACTTACCATATTTTTATAGAATGAAAGTATAGTTGTCGAAAATGGCACCCGCTAGGGATGACAAGCCAACATGTAGGCCCCGTACTATTGTGCTTAGGTTAATTCTGCCTCATTTCTGAGACAGTTCAGTAGTAATTCCAGCATTACAACAGGAAGTGTAATGTCCGTGACGGAGCCTGTTAACCATGATATCTAATTAATGATTCAGAGAAATGATCCAAAACTCCTAGTCTGTAATCTCCTCTACTAAGACGATGGATGTATACGATTGGCAAAATACATTATCAGGTTTATTTACTGAGCTCTTCAAACCTTTGTCACAGACACTGCATAATGCTGCAATTGCCCTTAAGATTCTGTCATCAAATCGTTCAATTTTTACTCCTTAGTTTACGTTCATTATAAGGGGAATACTTAGTGTATTTTTTATTGCACCCTCAATTTTATGAGTCTGTGGAATATCCTCTTGCACAGCAGCAAGGGTCTATGATATGCCCAGCAGCTTCTGCGATTAGTTATTCAAAATTAAACTGCGTCTTGGCATCGAGATCTGACCATTCAGCGGGCGCCTTCTATAGGTTCTTCCATAACCCGTTGTTGTATTACAAAGACATGGCATCCAAATTGACCAATCCACAGCTTAGTCCACATTTCGAAACATGATCAAAATGACGTGACAGTTTCTAAAGACCACTCCGATTGGCTGGTGGACAGGATCGCATAAAATTTACATGCTACGATATATCAGACGTTCGTACCGTAGCTCTGCCCACGTGAATGTCTGATCCTCAGATTACATTTTTGTATGGTGTGGGTGAAAATGTTGACATTTCCTGCTGATGTCGGTTGTGCAAGAGCTTAACAGTACTTCATTACATATATCTGAAAGGGAATAAACCCCACCCCAATCCACCCACTCCCAAAAAAAATGAAACGCTGAATTTTTTCCCCCTTCTAGGGTTGTTTGCGGGTGCTGCTGGTCCTTCTCCACGACTTCCCAGAATTCCTGTGCGACTACCACTACGGTTTCTGCGACGTCATCCCGCCCAACTGCATCCAGATGCGTAATCTGATCCTGAGCGCGTTCCCGCGCAACATGCGTCTGCCGGACCCCTTCACGCCCAACCTCAAGGTGGAGATGCTGTCGGATATCACCCAGCCGCCGCGCATCATGACCAACTTCTCGGCCATGATACAGCCGGCCTCTTTCAAGAAGGTAAGGTCAACTCGATTTGAGTTGACTCCGCTTTACATGAAAGTTTATTGCGTAACTTACGCAGCATCTCACATTGCGCGACATTTCAGTTGTGACACATTCCATGTGAAAATTAGAGTGACTGCCTAAGTTTTTATAAGTTGGACAAAATCAATATAACCCATTAGCACCTGGACTTCATTGTATTACATTGTATTTATTCACTGAAAAATCAACAAAACCATAGAGTGCTGGGGCGTTTTCGGGCGATACAGTGAGAAATAGACAGGGCGGTTTCAGGCGGTACAGTGACTAAAGGTCAAAACATGGCAAGTGGAGCTGATGCGATGATTGCTTTATGATGTATTTGAAGTCTCACATGAGTAGCCGTCAAAATAGCTATGATCATCCAAGAACAAATGCTTCTGTCCTTGTACGCAGTTAAAGGGAATATACATCATTTGCTTTTGCTGTAATTTTCAGAAATGGATGGAATTGGGGGGTTGGAAATATATAGCAAATATAGTTACACTGATTTTTTTGAGGTTTTGGGTTCGAAAATGCTATAAAAACCAAGAAAAACAAACAATTTCCTGTAGTCTGGTTCCCTGACTCCATATAAGAAGAAACGGAGCAGTTTATATACATACATTGGGGAATTTGTAGGTCAGGGAACCAGTCTAGCTGGCTTGTACCCGTTCATAGGTGTGTAATCGATTGCAAACAAGTGCGATGGTCAATTGGGGCCAGTATTTGAAAAAAAGCCAGTTTTTTCCAACGCTGGTCGGCCGAGCAGCGTTGGAAATTGATACAAAAATACCACTTTTCTTGAAAATGACAGTATACCAGGTGCCATGATTTTACAGGATGCTTTACACTGTCATTCACTAACAGTCCAGCAAGGTATTTCGAAATGATTTGGTAGTTTTATTGTTTGATGTTTGCAAATGTTGTATTTTCCCTTTAACATATGCTATTCCTTTCTCCGTCAACCTCCTGGCAAACCTAGGACCTAGACTCGTACCTCAAGACCCGCAGCACTGTCACGTTCCTGTCGGAGCTGCGCGGTCACCTGCAGGTCTCTCAGGAGCCCGGCCAGCGTTACAACACGGCCCTGATGAACGCCCTGGTCCTGTACGTGGGCTCGCAGGCCATCGCGTACATCCACAGCAAGAACAGCACGCCTTCCATGAGCACCATCCCTCACTCCTCGCATATGGATATCTTCCAGAACCTAGTGGTGGATCTGGACACGGAGGGTAACTCTAATCAACTCTGCTTCCCAAATGTTTTATCCCTTCACCCTGATTTTCAGAAAGTACACATTTTAGGAAAATAGAAGTTGTCTCAGGGATTCCAACTCGGCACCTTCAGCAATCTTAATGCACATGTATCCTATTGAGCTACTGAAGCACACTACAGTCATTGGGGGAATTCAAAACCTCATATAGATTTGCAATGTTATGTTGCAATACCTTTACTATAGCCTTTGAAAAACATGTTTTGGCTTCTTTAAAAGTAGCCACTTCCCCCTCCCCCCCCCCCAACCCCTGTATTTTAAAATCAATCAAGGTTTGTAAGATTTTGTAGGATTGAGGAAGGTAGAGCACAGCAACTAATACTCGACCAATTCCTTCAAAGATCAAGTGCCAAATGTGTACCATTGGATTCCCGCATAGTGGCAGATTATGAAGGATCCAGGACGGTTCCTAACAGAATGCTCAGAGTGTAACAGTAAAGTTAACCAAAATCACTTGTGGTCAAAATTGGAGCATATTTTGAGGCTAGTCAAAAATTCCATCATTTATTGACTAGTTTGCTTGTTTTGAGTTGTCATTGACTGTGTTGATTTTGCATTATGTTATCCAGGTCGGTATCTTTTCCTGAATGCAATAGCCAACCAGCTACGTTACCCCAACAGTCACACTCACTACTTCAGCTGCACTCTCCTGTATCTCTTTGCTGAGGCCAACACGGAGGCAATGCAAGAACAAATCACGAGGTGAGACCCTCTAATGAGTTATCCTCATAACAGAAGAGGGCGCTTTATGCACATACTCACTTGTGTGCATATTACGCGAACTACGCACAATTTATTTTATTAAAATGTTACCAAAAGATCAAGAATTAATTGTTACTTTTTTGCCTTTCTTCTTCCCCAAGGGTACTGCTAGAGCGATTGATTGTCAACAGACCACACCCATGGGGCCTTCTCATCACCTTCATTGATCTCATCAGGAATCCTAACTTCAAGTTCTGGAATCATGAGTTTGTCCACTGTGCCCCGGAGATTGAAAAGTAAGTCACAGACTGTCTGAGAGACTCTTATCAGAAGACTCTGCTTCATTTCCTTAACATAACTTTTTTCGTTTTTGACTTGACAACCTTTTTAAGCCTTAGATACAGGATTTTTTTGCCCCCACCCCCTCCATCCCATGTTTACTTTACATTGTTGTTTTTTCTTTTTGGCAAAATAATGTTACATGCTTTACCCCCCAAATGTTGCTATTATGGAAGGAAAAGATTTTTGAAACAAATCAAACACTTCGGTGTATAATGTTCTTTTCATCATGTATTTTGTGTGAATATAGAAACACAGTAATTCTGTTGAAGTAAGGAATGAGGCAATCCTTACATCATCATGTGGAACTTATTTTTGCTGTTACATACATGTACGATCAGCCTTTTTTCATGGCTCACTGGAACACTCCTAACTAAAGTAATTCTGATTAACATTTTGAATGCCCTGAGATTTTAAACCTGAGGCATCTGCGACTCCAAAGATACACTGGAGATAAGACTAATCCCTGCACAATACCTAAGTCTAGACCATAGAAACTAGTGCTAATCATCATGTAGGAATGCTGAGTTAGTCTCTTTTCAAGTTCACTTTAAGATTCTTTCGTGTTAACCAACAGATTGTTTGAGTCGGTTGCCAGGAGCTGTATGCAGCAGAAGAGCCAGGCGCCAGTTATGAACCGGGAACCGGTGGAGGCACACGAGTAAACAGTTGACCTCTTCCTCCATCGACCTCTCGGACTATACCACACAGTGATCTTATTTCAGACACGGAAATATGATGTGAAATATATAGCCTTGTGTTCAGCCGCTGTGCAGCTGTACACGCCGGCTGTATATGAGGTTTTGTTGTACAGATGTATTTAATAAAAAGGTCTTGCAATGTGTTGAGGTGGCTACTAGCGATGTGACTGAAGACTAGGTACGTCTGTGGTCAAGGAGAATGAATTTGGAAGCCAGATCTCTCTTTTAAAGGACATCATCCACTTCACGTCTGGTATCCTAATCGTCAAAGAGAGCACCAGTCTAAAGCATGTGGCAGCCATGTTGGTGTCAGATGCCATGCACTACACGTCTGGTATTCTAATTGTCAAAGAGAGCACCAGTCTTAGGACTGTGACAGCAGACCTAATGATTTTCCTACACTCTTTTATGAGACTCTAAGTAAGGCTCATGTTAAAAGTAGTCTGGTACCAATGGGATGGAATTGAGTACATATTGAACATTGCCTTTGTACAAGGGAACTAGACACACTACAAGTAGCCATGCTTAGGGTACCATGTGATACTGTAGTGATCTTCATCAAACAAAAGGTTTTTTAAAAGAAAATGTTTGTTTTTTTCCCTTTTTTCAAGGGAAAAAATAACAAATTGGAAGGGGACATTTAATCCCTTTTAACATCATTGATATTGTAACTGTCTTGGAATTACAGTGACATTTCTCTGATGAGTCTGATTTCAGATAATATTTACAATAATCATTTTCTTTTCTTTTCCATTTTGGGATGTGTCCAATTTTCGTTTCATCACTAAAAAATTATATAAATTTGATTGCTCGTATGTTCATTGAAAGAGTCTTGACAATTTGTTTATTATTCACATTTTTTTTCAACACCATAACGTCGTATTTGTATAATTTTGAACTTTGGTTAATTATCTGGCAATTGTTTGGGTTTTCTGGTTAGGCGCCAGATTTTGTTACGCAACACTTTCATGAGTTATACATTAGACCTTGAACTCGCACTGATGCGCTATAAACAACCTGTGAAATCCTGAACCACTGTTAGTGTTGTTGGGGTTTAAGGGTTTAAGGGTCTGGCTCGACGTGGGGAAATGACAGAATTAATCATGTCTTACCGATTTTGTGTCAGATTTTCACATCAACTTGATGATCTGAAAACATTTGACTACTTTTTGTTTTTGGGTTTTTTTCCGTTAATTTTGGGATTATTTTTGTTTTGGAGGGGGTGGAGTACCCTTTAAAAAATTTGGTTTCTGGCAGGTTTGAACCGGTGAAAAGTCAGTAATTTTTCACTTTATTATGTTGTAATCCTCCAACCTGAATGGGTTTTTCCAAAGAACAGGAGCCTTTCAGTAAACCATCTCAGATATTTCCAGGCATTTGTTGTGTAAACATTAAGATCTCATTTGAAAAAGTAACCTTAAAGGAAACGAATTATTTACGTATCCAATTGAAGCATTGAAAGAAACATGAACACGATTTTTGGATGAGCTTGCAAGATTTCAGGCTCAAACTATTATGGGCCATATCGTATCCATGTCTTTAACAATACGGCACCTGTTAAGCACCAAAGTATTATGGGATACCATTAATTCTCCATATATGGTCAAGTTGGTATCACTTTTTGGTATTAACATAAATTAAGGGACACTGTGTTTTCAGAGATTGTAAGCCACGTGATGCCCTTGTAGTGGCAGTTGATTCCATTTTTTGATAAACACTTGTTTGCAAATCCTGTACATATAAGACCTTGACGTATATAATTGTCTGCTTCATATTATGACGAATTAAAAAAAGCTTTACTTCAGCATTTAGCCCAGTGTGTTCATATTGTTCTTGTCAGTTCGTTTGTCATGTTCTTGTCAGTTCGTTTGTCATGTCGTTATGCCTAAGGCCAAAAAACAAATAAGTCGGTCTCTGGTCAGCGCGCGCGTCGATTTTAATCATGCGCGTCGATCTTTTTTTTTCCAAAATGTTCCGCGGTAGCTCCAACAGCGCCCTCTATTTCCGCCCCTAAATTTTGTTTACCAAAGAGCACCAAGGAATGGGAAATTGCACCAAGGCAAATGATCGAAAGCACCAAGGCAAATTATGGAGGACACCAATGTTCATGAGGACACCAAAAAAGCAAAATAGTACCCCACCTTGTCTGTACAATCCAAGCTTGAAGAGAAGAAACAAGAAAAAAAAAGAAAAAAGACGCGTGGCCGCGTCAATTCCGGAACTTTGGTCTGACCAGAGACCAAATATTTTTTTTGGGCCTAATGTGAGAAGGTTTTTTTTCATGGTAAGACCTTTTATTTACCGTACTAGTCAGAGTTTTGTAATGCTTTGAAAAAGAAATTGAAGAAAGATTTCTGGAAACGGTTACCGAATGAAACTCGTTATACAGGGTGGTCAACACAAACCGTAACGGCATACTTCCACTACCTTGAGACTCAAACTGCCTGTACCAATTCATGGAGAATCCTTTTAGAGGAATTATGATACCAGAATATCCCGATTCGGTCCAGTAGTTTGTGCTGCAGAGCCTTTTTTGTGAAGCACATTTCTTTCATGTGGGTACTATTATTACATAACTATCCCTCTATTAATTACAATGCAAGTCGAATTCCCGGGCGAAGTTTAGTAATTCATCGAGACAAAAATGACCCCCACCTTGCTTCACAAAACAGGTTCTAGAACAAAAGCTACTGGACCGATTTGGGCGATCTTGGTTTCACTTTTCTTCGAAAAAGATTCTCCGTGCATTGGTATTAGGCACAGATGTGTCAAAATTTGTTTGTATTTCCAATGTATCAAAATGTACACCCCCCCCCCCCCCCCCCCCCGCTGTGACACCCACAAATTTTGTACCGGTAATAATGTCAGCCTTTGCACAAAATCCAAACAGAGCCAGCTTAGTTAGTGGGTATATTTACACTATGCTGTGATATAGTGTTAAAAATCGTCGGATTTGAACAGCACGCCCCCATTGAGAGTATGATACGAGCCCCTCCTCCCCCCCCCCCCCCCCCCCCCCTGTTGATTTTCGGAGGCCAAGTGTCCTGAGAAACAACCCTCTCAATATTTCAGATTTTTTTGCCGACGACAACGCCCCCCCCCCGCGAAAATTCCTGGATCTGCTCCTAGGTATATGTGGTTTAATGATAATTATATCTGTCCCTAAATCGAGTGGGAATGTGTTCGAGGGTCCCCTAGGAGTCTTTCCAGGAAGTTTGGAACATTTTCGTTTTTTACCAAAATTGACAAACATTGCCAGGGGTTAGCCTTACATTTTTAAAAATAAAAATTGACTAAAATATGAATTTCTTTTTACTAATATATCTGTCCCTGAATCGAGTTGGAATGTGTTCCAAGGTCTTTTACGAGCCTTTTCAGAAAGTTTGGGGAATTTTCATAATTTGAAGAAAATTGACAAAAATTGCAATGGGTTAGCCTAACATTTTTCATAAAAATTAGCTAAATATGATTTTCTTTTTAATGATATTTCTGTCCCTAAATCGAGTTGGAATGTGTTACAGGGTCCCTTAGGATTCTTTCCAGGAAGTTTGGAGCAGTTTTATTTTTTGACCAAACTTGACAAACATTGCAAGGGGTTAGCCTTACATTTTTTAAAATAAAAATTGGCTAAAATATGAACTACTTTTTAATGATATATCTCTCCCTAAATCGAAATGGAATGTGTTCCAGGGGCCCTTAGGGGTCTTTCAAGGAAGTTTGGAGCATTTTCATTTTTTTGACGAAAATTGACAAAAATTGCAAGGGGTTAGCCTTACATTTTCTTTTATAAAATTAGGCTAAAACATGAATTTCTTTTTAGCTGTTTCGGTGACCCACCGAAACAGCTCTTGTTTTCGTTAAGATTTTTTTTTTCTCCTTTTTCAGACTTTTTCTCCATAGGTTTAACACACGTTTCTTCTGGCAGTCCACTGTGCCACTTTTATAAATCCGATTGATTTCAGATTTGGTACATACTTAGACCACCACCCACAGATGGTCCTAGAAAAAAATTGTGATCGTGACGTCATCAGGTGTCAGGTTACGTCACATTAAAGATGCATTTTTCCCCATATGTTTTGTACACGTTTTAAAACACTCCAGTTTGGCATCTTCGTAAATCCGATCGACTTTAAACTTAATTCATACTAAGACCACCACCCACAGATGGTCCTTGAAGAAATTCGTGATCGTGACGTCATCAGGTGTTACGTTACTTCACATTAAAGATGCACATTTTCCCCATAGGTTTTGTACACGATTTAAAACGCTCCACTTTGGCACTTTCGTAAATTTGATCGACTTTATACTTAGTACACACTTAGACCAGTACCCATAGATGGTACTAGAAGAAATTCGTCATCGTGGCGTCATGAGGTGTCAGGTTACATCACATTAAAGATGCATTGTTTCCCCATTGGTTTTGTACACGTTTTTCTTCAAACTGAACTTCGGAAGTACAAGTCTGATTGGGTTAAAACTTGGTATGCATATTCACATGGATGTGTTATAGATGGAAATTGAAGTGACATCATCATCAAATGTCATGTGAAGTCCCTTAAAGGGGCATTTTATTCTTTTATAGGTCTATATCTACAGAACTAAAATGTTCGATTTGGTTGTAACTTGAGATGTACATATTATAATGTGCTGTTATAGATGACATTTATAGTGACGTCACTGATTGTACATCCCGTGCTCAGAGTATTTCAAATATCCGAAACAGCTTGTGTTTGTCCACAAACACATCTCTAGTTAATGATATATCTGTCCCTGAATCGAGTTGGAATGTGTTCGAGGGTCCCCTCAGGTGTCTTTCCATGAAGTTTGAAGCATTTAATTTTTTGACCAAAATTGACAAAAATTGCAAGGGGTTAGCCTTACATTTTTTATTAAAATTAGGCCAAAATAAGAATTTCTTTTTAATGATATATCTGTCCCTGAATCGAGTTGGAATGTGTTCGAGGTTTTTTTGACCAAAATTGACAAAAATTGCAAGGGGTTAGCCTTACATTTTTCATAAAATTTGGCGAAATATGAATTTTTTTTCAAGATATATCTGTCCCTAGATCGAGTCGGATTGCGTTCTAGGGTCCCTTAGGAGTCCTTGGAAGTTTGGAGCAATTTCATTTTTTGACCAAAATTGACAAAAATTGCAAGGGGTTAGCCTTGCAGTTTTCATAAAAATTGGCTAAAATATGAATTTCTTTTTACTGATATATCTGTCCCTAAATCGAGTTTGAATGTGTTCCAGGGTGTTTTACGAGTCTTTCCAGGAAGTTTGGAGAATTCAAAAATTGCAAGGGGGTTAGCCTTTGCAGAAGACGGGAGGGGGGGGGGGCGCAGCGGCGGAAGGCGCGTGCTGCTGCCGAAAGCTTCTGAAGAAATGCAGGGTCATCCCCGATGTCATTGCACTCGATCATGCATTGCGCAAAACGATCGAGGAGGTGCAGGGGCGGATCCGGGGGGAGGGTCCCCCAGCTCTGTCCAAAAAAAAAAAAAAAAAATCGAAATCCCTGAAGAAATGCGAAATACCACCCCCCCCCCGCTCCGACACGCAAAAACTTTTTACTGGTAACAATGTTCGCTTCCCACAAAAATTCGGACATCGGCAGCTTTGTTAAAGGTGTATGCACATTCTGTGATATAGACCTAGTGTTAATAATCATCGGATTTGAACAGCGCCCCCATTGAAAGTGTAGTGCGATCCCCCCCCCCCTTTACCACCTTTTGATATTCGGAGACCAAGTGTCATTGCACACTACTCGATCACGTGTTGCGCCAAACGATCGGGGAGGTGCAGGCGCGGATCTGGGGGAGGGGGTATCTTTCAGGACTTTTTCTAGAGGGTGGGGGGCTAAAAAAATTTCCCAACAAATTCTTGTATTTCTCAACAAATTCTCGATTTATAAGTTAAAGAGGGTGGCAGGGACATTTTGCACCCCCCCCCTCAACTCATTAAATAAACACCACTATGACTTTGTGCCTCTTTTTCTCTTTTTTTAATTTTTTATATTTTTTTTTACCTTTCCGGGGGAGGGCAAGCGCCCCCTCCTTGCCCCCTCGCAATGCCCATGCCCAGTTCTGTCCTAAAACTAAATTCATAGAAATCCGTGGGAAAAAAAATGCGAAACACGCTGAAACTGTTTACTGGTAATAATGTCCGCTTTGCACAAAAATACGGACATTGGCAGCTTGCTTAGGGGGTATATGCATATTCTGTGATATGGGCCTAGTGTTAATAACCGCTGTATAATAGCTTTACTTTTTGTGTCAGAGCAGTGGAGGAGTTCGAACCTCCCCCCCCCCCAAAAAAAAACTTTCTCAAGATCCGCGCCTGCATGTTACTGACTGTACAAAAAGCAAGTCAGTAAAAGCCCCATGCAATAGATTTTTCCAATTCAATCCTTATTGTACATTATTGTACTTTGTTTTTCATTGTTAATTTCCGGTTTTAAGGGTGACGGACTTTGTTATCTTGCGTTTTGTTTCCCTTTTTTTGAGAAATACTGTATTTGTTGGGAATGTTCACAATTGAAGAAACGTTATTTGAAAGTTGTAAATAATGTTTATATTACAATGTACATCTTTATTTTTTTCCCCGGTATAATATGGCGTTTTTACGTCAATTGGAAATTGCGCCATTTATAATGGTAGTCATATTGATTGAACGAAACTCCATTTTAATTATAGTCAATTATGATTCATTGATTCATGACATAGACCTCTGTTTCGTTTTCAAAACTACCGTACATCTGCCTAGCAGATGTAAATATCAAACTAAACCAAAGTATAAAAGATAGAGGATAAAAAA